AGCAGGTGTGGGGGTGGCCACCAGCGGGCCCCTTTCTTGGCCCTTTCACTGCCTAGAAGCCTGTTTCTACCTGGTAACTACATCCCATGGCAATGGAGCCCTAGCCCTCCGGGGGCCAACACTCCCAGGAAGCAGACCTCTGGTCCCGGAGCAGAAAGACGGTGTCTGCAGGGGCCAGGTAAACAGAGCAGACCCTAACTCTGGGGCACCTCCCCATCTCCCGGGACTGATCCTTACCTTGGTCACCATGATGGGCATGTGGAAATCCCTGCCCCCGGTGATACGGAAGCCCCAGGGCGCCGGCCCCACCACATCCACAGTCAGCGCCATGCCTGGGGAAGGGTGGGCGGAGAGGACGGTGTCGGTGCAGGACAGAGGGAAAAGGGGGGAAGGGGGACCACAGGTCAGAGCAGCCATGAGGGGCTGGGGGTGGAGGCAGAGGAGGCGACTGACCGCTTCCCTCCCTCACCCCAGTTTTACTTCTCCCACCCCGGGAGCCAGGACTCTGCTGCGTCCAGCACAGCGGCTACCTGGAGATGGCTGTCAGACAGGGCCAGAGAGGGGTTCGCTGGGCACAGCGGGCAGCGGCCTGTGGGTGGCAGGAGGTGTCAGCATTTCCTCCTCCCCCTCCTCCACCACCAGGGCTGAGTCCCACACTAGAGCTTGCTTCCTGTCCCCAAAACCAACGACACACACGGCACTTCCTCCTGCTCTGGGGGAGGGCGGTGCTGTGGGAACAGTGACAGCAAGGAAGCGGGCGGTGCCACCCACGGGCCAAGGTGAGGCCAGGGTCTTCAGAGGGGCCTCCTGCGGCCCGCCCAGCCCCTGGCCACACGGTCCAGCTAGGCGAGCCTGGCTTCCCATCTCCACTGGGGGCCTGATGCCCTCTGCACAGCCCGAAAGAGGGGTAAACTCATCTGCCGAGTTGGGCACACCCACACCCTGGCGCTGGCCAGCAGAGTGAGCTGACTGATGCTGCCTGTGAGCTAGGTCCACAGGCCCCCCATCCGCTGTCCCCTCCACCGGGCAAGGGAGTGCCCTTGCAGACCCAGACCTTGTAGGATTTCCGGAGCCTCTAAGTCTGGAGTCAGGAGCCAACCCAGAAAGAAAGCTGCAGTGCCAGATTGGGGCACCACCCTGCCCTGCACGGCCCTGGAGCTGCCCCTGGGGAGGCCAGCGACGGCAAGTGAGGCCCAAATCCATCCAAGGGACACCAGGGCCACCTCCCCGAGTTAATGAGCCTGTGGAGTGCGCGCCCAGGACAGCAGGGCTGTCTGCCCTCTTCCTGGCCCCGTGGCTTCCCCTTTGCCCAGGCCTGGCCTCTGTCCCTCCCTAGGCACCCAGGCCGGTGCAGGCCGCTCACTCGCCTTGATTCCCGGACCTTTGAGCCGGCCAGTGGACTAAGCGCCGGGTGCAGCCAAGACGTGCCCAGCCCGTCCACCCCGCTCTCCCAGTTCCGATGCCCTCTGCGCTCCCAGACCAAAGTACCCGCGGGCCCGGGGTTGGAGGAGGAGCGCCCAGGACGAGGAAGCCCGAGCGCCGGGGATCGCCATCCTCTAGGCGAGGCTGCGGAGTGGGGCTGGGGGCGCAGGAAGGGCCGGGCCGGGGCCCCGAGGGTCGCCCCGGGGGGAGGGGGCGGGGCGCGGGTGAGGAGGCGCGGGTGCGAGCAGGGGGCCGCGGGCCGCGCGGACAGTTCGCAGGTGGATGAGCTCACCTGGCCCCCGCTCACCTGTGTGGCTGGGCGGCCGCGTCCAAGAGGCAAGGGAGGGAGGACGAGGAGACGCCGCAGCTGTTGCTGCAGCCGCCACTGCCGCAGCCTGCCCGACTCTGGGGAGAGCCTCCCGGGGCTCCGGGACCTGCCTCCGCCCATGTGATCCCGGGGCCGCCCCTGCCGCCGCCCCGGCACGGGAAGCCGCCGCCTCCGCGCAGCCCAGCCCCGGCGCTGTCGTCTGGTCCTCTCCCCCAGCGGGGGGCGGGGGTGACGAATCTCCCTAAAGTACCCTAGAAGCTGCGGCCGCTCTCCTCGAGGTACTCCGTCCTCCTGGCTGACCCTCGAGTGCAGGGCCGGCGTTCTGGTAGCGGTGACCAGCCCTACTTCCCAGCCGGCTGAGCCTTCCCTGGCCGGCTGCCCCGCCCCCCTTCCAAGGAGCCCTCCAGCAGCCCCAGAGCGCCGGGGCTGGGGAAGGCTGGCCTGGCCTGCGGTCCACCCGGCCGGTCTGTCCGCTGCAGGCTCCCACGCCGGCGCAGAGGCAGCCGGACACACTCGCATCCCAAACTAGGGCCGTCGCGCCGCCTTCCCGAGGTCCGTGCGCTGCAGCGGCGCAGAGGGATGCGGGCGAGCCCGCTCCACTCAGGGGGACTGGCCAGGTGCAGGAGGAGATGGAGACTCCGGATGGAGGTCACCAGCCCCTCCTGGGCTATACATGTCCCTCCCTCTTCTGGGCTGAGCCCTTTTCCGTTCTTGGCCGCTGTGGCTCTCTCTTGTTGTCCTGCCTGGAGTTGGCCAGCTGCAGCAGCCCCCACTGGCCCTCGCCGGCCAGGCCCAGCCACCTGGAGCCCCGGCTCAGGAGACCAGGGGAGGAGAGCCAAGGAGAGGCCCCAGACACCAGCTCAGAACCATCTGGCAAATGGTTCCCCGGAGTCAAGCGTAGCAACCCCCCCCCCCCCCCCCCCCCCCCGGGACCTTAGGGCCCACCGCAGCTGGCTCAGTCTGCCACTGGTCTCCACTTTGCACTGACAGGCTGGTCTGTTTTCAGGAGGCCACCTGTGGGCATGGCTGCGACTTGCCCGCGGCAGGTAGTCATTGCCTCCCAGCCGCCTTTGCAAGCAGTGCCCTCAGCACCAGCCCCACACCCGTCTCCTTCCTGCACACTCCGCCCAACCTGCCTGCAGCCCTCGACCTCCCCTGTCCCTAGAGTCCCACAGCCTGTCCCTCGTGAGCATAAGCCGCTCTCCCACTAACTGGTCCCAGCCTCGTGGTGTGGCTGCTTGACCTGGTGCACCTGTCCTAACCCCCACCCAGGCTGGAAGCCCTGAGGGAGCAGAAAGCTAAAGAGGGGCCAGATCTGCCTCTGCTGGCTGTGTGACCCTGGGCAACTTCCTCAGCTCCTCTGGGCCTCCGTTGCCCCACTGCACAGTGGGGACGGCGCACAGCTGCACAGATTGCCCTCCCGTGTACGACTGCCTACACACAGTTTCCTCGGAGGGCCGGCGGGGTGTTTGTCTGGGTACTGGCTCAGCCCCCGGAGCCTGGCACCTCGGTCCTCCCCATCCCCAGTGGAGCAGGTGCTAGAGAGCTGCCGAATGAATGAATGTTGCTTTAATGGCTGAATGGATTCATCTTCCCCCTCCCCCAGTCTGTGTTATACATTTGGTGCTCTGGATTTTGCCTCGGGTGGTCTCTCGAAGAAGCATCTGCAGGATTTCTGCTCCATGGGCTCTGCATTCACAAAACACAGGACACGAACAAAGGTGGCAGGACCTGACCCCTGGAGACAGGAGGGAGCATGTTCCGCTCCAAGCCACTCTGAGCCTCAGGCCACCCAACCCCACAACGGGAACAGTAGCCCTAGTGGCCTAAGGTCCTTTCTGGCTCTGACTCCTCAGGTCCCCCTCCCTCCTGAGCCTCCTCCCCCACCTTGCTCAGTCAAGACACCGAAGTGGTCATCACACACCAGCACCCTGGTGGCAGGCAGCCCAGAGGCCTAGGGGTGGTTTGCTGCCAAGGTTTCGGGTCCCCATCAAAGAGACGGTTTGGGTTTGGTTTCTGCCCCAGGGAAAGACAGGCCCAACCCTGATACCTTACTTGAGGGCATTGGGGAAGGCAAAGAAGCCAGGGCAGGGGTCAGGGAAAAGCCAGCGGGGTCCCCCAAAGCGGTCATTTTTACAAGAGGGGATGGACCTGCCCACTGAGAAGCAGACCGCGGGGAGGACTTCTGCACAGGACCGCAGCAGGGCACCCAGGTCTTGTTCTTCCAGCTGCCGTTTAACCACCCCTGGGGCTTGGTCCCACCCAGGCTCAAGGATCCAGCCGGGGCTTGGCCACCACCACCCTGTCACTCACAGGCCTCACCAGCCTGCCTGGACTCTCTTGGGCCCCAGTGCCTCTTCCCGCCCACCTGGAAGACAGCATTATCAGAAAGAATGTGAAAGAGGCCCAGCCCGGGGCCACCCCATGGAAGACCTTGACCTCGTACACAACCTTCCTTCTTCGGAGGCCTCTGGACAAGGAATGCAGACAGGTGGCAACAGTGTTGGACCTGAGCTCAGCATTTCTAACAACGTGACTAGACCGCTGGACGTCTCTGCCTTCCCTGGTCCACTTCCCTGTGAGGCAGAGTCCGGCCTGCCCGCCGGGCTGCTCACAGCGGACAGCGGTGTGTGTGCAGCGCCTCGGGCCGCTCATTCCCCGCCACTGTCACCCTGAGGGAACCACCAAGGCCCGGGACTCTGAAATCTTGGGTGAGGAGTCCCTTTGGCTGGCTGTGGCCCACCACTCCCAGCTTCCCACAGTCGATTGCTCAAAACCCCGAGCTGAAAGGAGAAAGTAAACAAACACAGCACTTCGGGGTGGAATGGGGCACCCAGAAGGAAAACATTAGCAGCAGAGCAGTTAGACATGTCACCCAGTCCAGCCACCCCACGGAGGCTCCAGAATCAAAACAGCCTGCACACAAGGCCACATTCAGGGCCCATCTCTGGTTTCTCCCCACAATCAGGCCTCGCCCTGGTCCCTGTGACGTCAGTAATCACGCCCTCTCTCTGGGCTGCTTCTCAGACAGTCACCTAACACTGGGGCTGCCCAAGGCTGCCTGAGGCCTGAGGCCTGCCATCTTTAGAGATAATAACGCTGCTTTTCTATCTTCCCCTTACACACACACACTAATTCTCACATCCCATGTGACTCCCAGCACAGCCCACTGAAAAAAGCATTCCCATAATCCTGAACAGCACCCTCTCCGACCCTCCCAACGGAAGGAGTGCGAGGCGAGATCCTTGGCGTCCGGGTTTTATTTTATTCTCCTCCAGGGGGAGCCTGGGGCTGGGGGAGGGTGGGGAGGCAGGAGGGCAGCACGCGCTGGCCTCCTGGAAAAGTCTGGGGTGGGCCAGGCCTCGGGGGCCCCTCCTTCCTGGGCGCCACAGCAGCAAAACAGACACGCAGCCCAGGCCCAGGGCTGGGCAGCCTTTGGGCGGGGGGGGCCTTCGGGCAAGACCCCTGGCCAGGCCTCAAATACCAAGGAGGTGCTGCGCCCACCCCCACTTCACTCCCAGGTCCAGCTGGAAGCAGGAAGGCAAAGGGGCAGCAGGCGAGCTGGAGTCAAAGGGGTGGAACCCCCTCCAGGCGGTGGCCTTTGGTCTCCATCAGGTTAGGAAGCTGGTCCTTGCTAGAGGAAGGCCGTGGGGGTGAAGCTGGGAGCCGGCCCCTGTTAGAGGAAACGTAGCAGGGTGGGGGCGGGGGATTCAGGGGTCTGGTCTCAATAAGGCCTGGAGAGCATCTCCACTTCAGAGCAGACTCTGTATTTGGGGGGTCGGGGAGGGGAGGACACAAAAGGACTGTGGGAGGAATGCCTGTGTGCTGTGGGTGCAAATCGGCCCAGGGGGCTTCGAGGGGCTCCAGGGAACAGGCTTCTGGGGTGTCTGCGGATGCCAGCGGCCAGGTCCTGGGGAGGGGAGGAGGGGTGCTCCCTGCGCCGAGAAGTGCCGCTGCCGCCCGCCCCGTCTCAGCTGGGCTCTGAGTTGCCGCGGAGACCTCTCACACTGGAGCTACATAATTTCCAGGGAATGTCCCAAATTTCTGGGTCCTCCGGGAGACACCTAAAAGAGGAAAGACACAGAGATCATGCCCCATACTTCTTTTTTAAAACAGATGATGAGGGCCCTGCCCCCTGCTGGCAGTGCCCACAACTGCAGGTGGAGGGAGAAATCCTTGTCCTCATTCCTGTCCTCTAGTGGCAGAAGCTTAGATAAGTGAAGAAGCTACACTTGCTGAATTCACTAATGATCCACCAACTGAGCACGGGACGACCGTGGGGCACTTTGCACACAGCAAACAACACACAGCAGGGAACGACCCCACCCTTCCTTGGGAAAGCAAGGAAGTGGGAGGATGGACCACAGAACCTAAACCCAGAGGAGTCCCGCAGGTCGAAGTGTGACCCCCTCCTTTCAGAGACAGGGCAGGGGAGGCCAAGAGGCAGTGAATCCCCCCAAAGCGCTCTGCTGCGTAAAGGTCGAGGTGGGCCTGAAGTTCGGGCCTCTGCTCTGGTCTGCTGCCACCCCCGAAGGCACCTGTGTCCTGGGACAGCAAAGGGGGATGCGAGAAGGTGGAGGAATGGGAAGTGACCATCTGGGCCTTCCCCTCCTGGCAGGCTGGCATCGGTTTCCTTGCCAGTAGCCGGTGCCCAGCTGGTACCCAGGCCTTGCTGATGCTGTCCCCCTGCCTGGGGGGGCACTCCTTTCCCACTCCGCCACAAGGCCCAGCTCCCCCACTTCCTCCAGGAAGCCTTCCCTGACTTGCACTGTCCACAGTGATGAACCACATGTGGCTACTGAGAATTTAATGTGCTAATGTCACTGGAAACTGAACTTTCTAAACCTTTCCTCTAAAAGCACATGCGGCTTATACCACAAAGGTGGCGCTCTTTCTCCTTGTCTATGTAAACTTGCAAAAGTTGATTAACAGATGTAAAGAAATTCAAACACAGAAGTGTACAGAGCAGGATGTGACTGTGCCCCAAGCACCACCCTCCAAGGTAAGGACTTTTCACACGTTAGTGCTTCACAATCGATCACTGCTGTGTCCAAAGCTTGGTCACCAGCGAGGTGCTGGGATTCAGGGGAGAAAGGGCGGGCTGCCAGGTCCAGGCCGCCCCTCAGCACCCCGCCCAGGCACCTGCCGCACTAGTGTCCCAGGACGGCCTGGGCTCTGAGGCTGAGGTCTGGACAGGGCCCCCGCCCACTGTGGGGAAGCTGGCTGTCAGAAACCTGCAGGTCCAGGGCCAGGTGGAGGCCAAGGCCCGCCTGAGGCTTCCTGTGTTAGTCCTTTGCTTGTGCTGTCCTTGGGCCAGCCCTGAGGGCCGGGACCTCTCTGTCCTTTCAGTGGAGAGGGGTTTTGGGGAGCTAGCTGCTGGCTGGGGGTGGGGGTGGGGGATACACTGAATCGATCGATGACCCTGGGCCTCATCCCTGTGTGCGGGATGAGGGCAACAGCAGAAACATTGGCTCAGAGGAGGCATCCAGGGCCAGGCCTCCCCAGGAGCCAGGCCCAGAAGGCATGTGTAGCAGGTCAGGCTGTGAGCCAAAACGCCCCAGGGACCCTGAGGGTGCCCCCATCCAGCCTGCCCCACAGCACCCCACCAGGCCCACATACCCACAAACCAGCCGTCGTCACACTGCTGCATGACATCCACCCGGTCCCCCTCCCGCAGCTCCAGCTCATCCTCGTTCTGGGGCCTGTACTGGTACATCGCCCGGTACCTGCAGGGGACATCGTCATGGCAACCACCAGGGCCCAACCCCTTGCTCAGACCCCACCCAGAATCTACATCCATGCGCGCCTCGTCCAGCAGCCTTCCCAGGGTTTCTCGGGCTCCCATGAGCCCTGGCCCGGCCCCAGGGGTGGCGGCTCTGTCTGGATGCAGTGCCTTCTACCCCAGGCCTGCTCCCTGTCCTCTAAGCCCTCACCACCTAACCCTGCCTCCTTGGAGCTCCCTGTATCTTTGAGTCTGTTCTGCCAGTTCCCACACTTCATGCATCTACACACTGACCTTAGGGCTAGAAACACAGGAAAGGGACTGCAGCTGGGGGGCTTCGTGTGGGAGGCTTGCTTTAAGGCTGTAGGGCTGACAGGGACAGCTCGGGACACTGCAGGCAGGTGCCCCACCCCTGCCACCAAGTCACCTGTAAGCCCAGTAAGAACCAGCACTACCTATCAGGAGTTTACCAAATCCACCTGGAGGGCCAGGCGGTCTGGGGGGTCAGTGTGCTCAGCAGTGCCTGCCAGTGACCCCTACCCATGACCAAGCACCCCCAGATGGTACTCACGGGGTCCAGTGTATCTGAGTGGTGTGGAGTGAGGAGGTTCCCAGGTCCAGGGGACGGCTGGAGCCTCCAGAATGAGACAGAGAAGACCCAGGGGTGCTGAGACTCTGGGGTCCACAGGAGGAGAGGCAGACACAAGCCAGCATGAGGGAGGGCAATGAAGCGACCTCCTATTCCCCTGGAGCAGCCCTCCCTGCACTCTCCTCTGCCCCTCAGTCCCCACGCAGTGCCCAGGGGTCTGTGCACACTTCCTCTCACAGGGAGGGCTCGGGTGGGGCGGCAGGCGGCAGAGCCTGCTGCGCTGGCCGGCTGTGTGAGAGAGGGCTGCCTGCCAGAGTGAGCGGCATGTTCGTGGGCTGTTGGCACGCAGACCATCAACTGCACCATAAACTGTCAGTTCCAACCTGCCCAACGGCCCTCTGCAGTGGGAGTACTGTCCCCTTTCTGCAGGTGAGGAAACCCACATCCGGAGACTGTAAGTTACGTACGCAGGGCCACGTAGCACACTGACAGCACACCCCCAAATCCCCACCCCACCCTGTGCCAGAGGCTGCTAGAGACAAGTCACAGAATTGGGGTCTGAAGGGTCAGGACCTAGAGCCAGCTAGCTACCCCATTCTCCCTGGGACGCAGCTCAAAGGCCACAACCAGCGTGAGGGCCGGAAAGGTGTACAAGGCCAGGGCAGGGCTGCAGTGCCAGGTTCTGCCCAGTCACCCCACTAGTCAGTCCTGGGGCAGGCTGGGAAGGGTTTCCAAGTGCAGCCCTGTCACGGGCATGGGGGTAACGGGATAGGGGGCAGGGGGCAGCTCTCCACCTGATGCAGGTCACTTACCTGGGCCTGGGGTCTGTGCTCCTGCGTGGAGAAGGAGAAGCCAGTGCGGCGGGGGGAGGTCCGGCCCCCGCAGTCGCTGAGGTCAGTTGGACTGCGCGGCATTACTGGGGAGCTGGGGTGACGGGCGGCCAGCCGGGCAGTGGTCAGACGGGGCGACGCAGGGAGCTGAGGGCCCTCGTCGCAGACTCGGAGCCTAGGCTCACGGCACACCTGCACATAGCTGGCAGGGAAGATGCCCTGGCGCCCTGTGCCCGAGATGCGCCCCTCGTACCAATTCTCATTCACCTTTCGGATCAGGCAGATGCGTTCCCCCTGTGGGGAGAGAGGAGTCAGCATCTGGAGGGCCTTCCTGGGCCCACGCGCCCAAGGGTGCCTACACAGGTGCCCAGAGGGATCTGGCTCGGAGGGGTCGGCAGGTTATGCCGAGGTCAGAGGACTAGGAAGCGGAGGGTCAGGAAACCAACCGCAGCTGCCTGGCAGAGTGAGCAGAAGTCTCAGCCCTTCCCACAGGATGTGGTGCTGGGTTTGGGCCAGGTCCTGCCTCTTGGGAATACCTCCACGCACCCCCTCTGAGTTCCCAGCTCTCCCAGCAGAGCTCCATGCACAGGCGGCCGGCGGCAGACAATACAAACCCAAGCCAGGCCCTGCCCATTTCAAGCTGCGTGGCCTTGGCCAAGTCACTCTGCCTTTGAGCCTGTTGCCTTGCCTGGGAAGGGAGGGAAGCAATACTGTCGCTGTGAGACACAGCGGAGACCAATGTCAGATCGGTAAGGGGTGCTGGGCGCACCAGCCACCACGGCCAGGACTGGGTCCTGTCCCCGCCTCCACTTGGGGTGACCCCGTCACCATTGCCAACAAACTCCTGGAGGGTGGCCGGGGCTTCCTCAGCCCTGTGATGCGACTGAGGTCGGAGTGGGGGACTTCCCTGGAGAAGGACGTTCACTAGGGGCGTTCATGGCCTCCGCCCCAAAAACCAGCTGAAGGGAGACCAATCCCCTGCGTTCTAGGACAACTATTTTTCAAGCTTTCTGGAACACAATCTATAGTAAAAATTGTGTTGTACCAACCCAATACACAGCACGCACACACGTGGGCACATAAAGGCCCACCCTTCCTACATGCAAGATGTTCTCATTTTCCAGCTTATTCTTTTAAAAATGCGGATTGTGACCCTCAAAACCTATGAACCTGGCATTGAAAGAAAAGCACAACTATTCTACAAGTTTCAGACTTTTTAAAAATGGGCTAAGTTAAGAAAAACATATCCAAAGAGGCTGAGAAAAAAATGGAAATACTGGATGAAGACAGACACACCTGGCTCCCACAACATGTTTTAGGGCACGCACTTCCCTCTGTCTCCACCCGCCCCCGCCGGCTGCCCAGCCTGGCCGCACCTTTCGGAAGGACAGCTCCACCTCCAGATCCCCCTTGAAATTGTACTGGGCCACCGCTTCTCCATACTCCAGCACCTGGTAGGTCGGGGACCGGAGGGGCTTGGGGACCTCATCTGCAGGCAGCACCTGCGGGAAGAAAGACCATGAGAAAGGATCAGCCTAGACAACAAAGGCGGTATAAGCGAGACCTGTGCCCAGGCCAGAGAGGAGACAGACACCTGACACAAGCCTGGGGTGGCCAGGGACAAGCCAAGGGGACTGTGAGCCTGAAGTACATGGAGTGGGCATTACTGGCTGGGACAATGGGTGCCCGCGTGGAAGCCAGTTCAGTGAGAGAGCTGAGCTCGGAGGGCAGGGAGCGCCTGGTGGCTGCTCTAGAAGTGAGGGTCTGATATTTTACTGTTGCTGAGAACCGAGGGTCTCTCTTCCTCCTCCCCATCTACCCCCAGTTGCCCAGAGTCCACATGTTCTCTTCACTTCACCTGACTCATAAAAACCTAGAAGCTAATAAACTATTTCATACTAAGGTGTAAATACTGATGGCATGGAATACTTTTTCTACTTTGTGAAGTTTCAGGATCAGAGAGACAGTTCTGAGGGTCATGGAGGCCCACTGATGGCTGGCAAATCAAGAGCTTGAGTGAAACAAGAACCTGACCCCTGGGCCGAGGAGGAGGTCACAAAGGAAAGGAGAACACAGTTTGAGCTGAATAAAAATAAATCTATCAGAATCTGTGAGATGTAGTTAAAGCAGTGCTGAGAGGAAAAGTTATAGCCTTAAAATGCTTATATTTGGGAAAAAATGTTTCAAATCAGCCATTTAAATGACCACCCTAAAAAACTAGAAAAGAAGAGCAAATTAAAATTAATGTAAGCAGGAGAGAATAATAAAGAGGCAAAAATCAATTATATGGAAAACAAAAATAGAGAAAAATCAATAAAATCAAAAGTTGGTTCTTCAAAAAAAAATCCATAAAGTTAGCAGTCTCTAGGCAGAATTAGAGAGGTAGATACAATGTGTCAATATCAGGAATGAAAGAAAGGACATCACTACAGATCTTAGCAACATTAAAAGGAAATAAGGAAATATTATGAACAACTTTAAACCAGTAAGTTACATGGCTCGAAATCCCTTAGAAGTCACAAATACCAAAGAGAGCTGACGGTCCTGTACCTGTCAAACCCAGAACCTGTGTCCAGATTCGGAGTCTGGATCTTCTACTTAACACCGTGTCCCCGAACCTCGCAAGCTCATCTGTAACATGGGCGGGTCTATCAGTCCCCTGGGTTAGTGGAGGGACAAGGAGGTCATTCAGGTGGCTCTGGGACAACATTGGTTTGAACTGTGTGGATCCACCCATACACAGATTTTTTTCCCCCAGGGAATAAACTGGAACATTTTTGGAGATTTGTGACAATTTGTGAAACTCGCCCATGAACCGCATAGCCTAGAACTATTTTTTAAAAATTTAAGAAAAAGGTCATGGCCCTGGCTGGTGTGGCTCAATGGATTGAGTGCTGGCCTGTGAACAGAAAGGTTGCTGGTTCAGTTCCCAGTCAGGGCACACGCCCAGGTTGCAGGCCAGGTCCCTGGTACAGGGCGCACAAGAGGTAACCACACATTGATGTTTCTCTCCCTCTCATTCTCCTTCCCTTCACCTCTCTCTAAAAATGAATAAATAAAATCTTTAAAAAAAAAGAAAAAAATTATGTCACAAATACATAAAATACATGTATTTTCTGTTCCTTATGATTTTCATAATAGTATTTTTTATCTAGCTTACTTCAGTGTAAGAATAGAGCATATAATACATATGACATACAAAATATGAGTCCATTGATTGTTTATGTTACCCACAAGGCTTCTGGTCAACAGTGGGCTAGTAGTAGTTAAGTTCTGGGGGGGCCGGAAGTTACAGTAGATTCTGACTGTGTGGGGGCAGCACCCCTAACCACTGCACTGTTCAAAGGTCAACTGTACAGAAGAGGAAGATGCTGCAGGTGCACGTGACCTGGAAACGTCACACACTGTACTCTTGCCAGGTGTCATTAGGATTCACCCCCAAGACGGCTTGAGACAGACGGGTTCTGCATGGTGACAGGCTGGGGCACTGACGGGGCTGGTGGTCCCTGCTTCTCCCCATGGGCTGGGTTCCACCTTCAGCCCTCACGGAACACACACTTCCTGAGTGATGGCCAAGTGCCGGGTTAGGGGCCGAGGTCAGGAATGAGGCTGAGACGTGGCCCCCACCCTGAGGTCCCAGTTACCTCTTGGGGAACCCGTGAGATAGGGCAGCCAGCCAGGGAGAGAAGCCAAGGGCAGACCTGGGCTCTGCACACGGAGGGGCTCCTGCTGGCTCCTGCTCACCTCCACGTAATTAGCAGGGAAGATGCCCACCCGGCCATGGTGTTCCCCCTCCAGCCAGTTCTTGTCCACCTCCTTGTGGATGTAGACGATGTCACCCTTCTTCAGGGTCAGCTCCCTGGAGGCCAGAACAAGGACAGCAGCAAGCTGAGGTCCTCCCCCTCCTCCTTCTTCTCAGAGCCCGTCCAAAACACGCAGAGTCCCCTCCACCCGCTGGGGATGCCCACCTCAGCCCTGTGCCCCTCCCTCAGAGTGCGGAGCCAGCCCCGGGGGGCAGGGGTTCGGAGAGAAGGGCACTTACTTGGGGGACTGTGCCTGGAAGTCAAACTTGAGCCTGGCAGCCTTCCTCTGTGCAGGGGGAGAGGAGGAAGGGAGCGAGCGGGTCAAGCAGCGGCCGGACCCGCCCCAGACCCTCTTGGCGCCCTGACGCTAAGGCTCCAGCCCCCTTACCTTCTTTTCTTCCTTCCTGGCAGGACTGACCCCTCGTTCGGAGGCACTAGGGTCTGCGGAGAAGGATGCGCTCAGCTTGGGAAGGCCGTGTGTGCGCGGGCGCTGGGATGGGGCTCTTCCCCTCCCCACCCAGGCACCAGCAGCAGCGGCTCTGGGATCTTCCTGCCACACCCCCGGAGGCACCAGACGGAGGCGTCGGGTGAGAGAAGGAGCAGGATCCGGTCCTTACCTCGGGTTGAGGAAGGGTAGACAAAATCCCTACGGCCTAGGAAGGGGCTTCCTCCATCCGCCATTCTGTGGGGGCTCAGGGGTCGGGAGGAACCCCGGTAAAGTGCATTCGGGAAGCTGGGGCTCCAGGCGGAGGCGGGGCTGCGGGGACACAGTGAGTGAGCCACCTGCCTGGCTTCCCGCCCCACCAGGCTCATCCCCAAGCGCCGCACGTCTGCCCGGTCGCCAGCGGCCTCCCTCCCAGGCGGCCCCCAGGCTCGCCGCAGGACGTCCTACTTCCCAAAGCGGAGGGCCGGGCCGGGAAAGGGTGCGGCCGGCAGGGAGGCGGGGGCGCACTGGGAAGCGGGGGCCGCGGCCGCCCGGCCCTCGGCTGAGGACAGTGTCCCTCTGGCGGCCGGGGACGGCGCCCCCAACCCCGGTCCCCGCGGCGAGCGGTGCCCAGTCCCTGGCGGCCACCTGCCGCCCTCCACGGCCTCCCCCCGGCCCCGCGCCCCGTCCCGGAGCCACGTCCCCTCCCCGCGCCACGTCCCCTCCCCAGCCACGTCCCGCCACCCTCTGCGCACCCCACTCACCGCGCGGGGGGCCGCGGCTCCTGGGACCGTCGGGGCGCCTGGGACGCCTGTGGGGGAGAGCGCGGTCAGGGCCCGGACGGACCGGCGGCAGTCCAGGCCGCCGCCTCTCGGAGTTCACGGCTCCGCAGGAGAAGGTGGGCGGGGCGGGTCCGAGCGGGCGGGACCCGGGAGGAGCGGAGAAGCCGGGGAGGAAGCGCGGGGAGGGGCGTGCGGAAGCGGGAGGGCGGCGCGGGACGCGGGCGGGGCGGCGGGGGAATCCATGCGGGTGGAAGTCGGGGACCGGCCGGGGAGCCCGGGCAGCCCGACGCCAGGCTGACGCGGACTCGGCCTGGAAGAGCTCTTCGGAGCCGCGCGGAGAAGCCCGCGCCCCGCCTCCCGTGGAGGAGAGCGCGGACGCGCATCCAGTCCGTCCCGGGCGCGCTGCGTGCCGCCGGAGGGGCGCCGTGGCCAGCCCCGCTCATCCGAGCGGCCAGCTGTAGGGCGCTCGGGGCCCAGAGTCTCCCAGGGGGGCTGGGCAGTCGGTACCTTGGGGGATGGCTGCCGGGTCTCAATAGCCCGCAAGTCCTTGTCCAGCTCCGCGCTCAGCTTGGCCAGCTCTCTCTCCAGCAAGACCTGGGCCGGGTGACGGGGAGAAGCTTGGGTAGTGCACAGTTGGGGGCGCCGGTCAAAGGTGAGATGTGAGAAGCCCACTGGGCAGCGCGGTGCTTGCGCTCTGGTAAAGGGTGGGCTCGGGGCAAGAGCCAGGCGAGGCCAGACGCCAGGAGGTGTGTCTCAGGGTGTCAGGAGGGCCTGGCCACAGCCTCTCACTGGCCCCTCCCTCCTGACCCAGCTCACCTATCTGGTGCCCAGGACAGTCCCTCAGGACTGCCCCATAGTCCCTCCGCACCTTTTTTTGTCAGTGGTACTTCTCTGTTCAAGCCTGCAGGACTCCTCGTTTCCTGTCCCACCGAGTCCTCCATGGCCTTCCATAGCCTAGCTTCACTGTACCAGCCGGCTCCCCGCCCCCTTGCACAGCCCAGCCTGCAGCCCAGACTTTGCCTCGGCCCCCCCCAGCCCCCCCAAGCACCCTCTCTGCCTGGCCAAACCCTCCCAGCTCCTCAGAGCCCAGCACCACCTCCGAGAACACTTCTCACCAGTTCTGGCCACACTGACCACTCTTTCCTCTGCTCCTACTTTGACCAACACACATTTATTCAACACTCGTTTGAGTGCCTACTGTATGCGGGGCAGAAGTAAACTGCGTGGGGCTGGAGGGGATCAGAGCTTTGGGATCTGTGCCCCCTGCCCGTGGTCAGGAGCCAACTTCACCCAGCATGTCTCCTTCGTCCCCCACACCACTGTCTCCCCTCCCCCACCTTCCCTGCAGCACACACCTCAATGGGCTGGGAGGGCTTCTCCACAGGGTCATCCACCAGAGGTTTCTTGGGCTAAGGGCGGGAAGGCAGAGTCAGAGGGGGTGAACCCGTTTGCCAAAATGCACTAGCTGAGGGGCGCAGCCACTTGCAGAGGGCCGGACCCACGCTCACCTTCTGCCCAGTCTCCAGTTCTTGCAGAAACTGGTTCCAAGATTCTTCCGTCCAGATGTTGTCCGCTTTCTCGCGGCGTCTGGGCAGCTGCGTGGGGGCAGACAGGCAACAGCTTGAGCAGACAGGGAAGGCTTTCAGGCCACGCCCCCTCCCTGAGGATTCCCCAGCCCCCTCCTAGTGGGTTCTGGGCCCACCTAGCTGCACAGGCCCCAACTGAAAGGGCATTATCTGCGCCCTTCCCGCAGGGGGACCTGGCCAAGAAGGCACTGGGTGCAGTGTGGGGAGGGCGCTGGGCGGGCTACCTGATTTGGGGTCTGGGACAGGTTGGAGGATGCTCCAGGATTACAGTGGAAGGTGCTTCTAGGAAACTCTTCAGAGCAGTCCCAGCTTCTTCTAAAGAAAGGGAAGGGTGTGTCTTCAGTTTCGTTTTAGGAAAACTGAGGTGTGAGTGAGAACACGGCCTGGCAGAGTGAGCTCCACCAGTCCTCTCCTGCTTGGGGCTGTGGAGCCATGTTACAGAAGGGAGAATTATGAGTGCTGAGTCCAGACCTCAGCTCTACTACCCAGCTGTGCTACCTTCTGGCAAGTTACTGAACTGCCGGAGCCTCCAATTCCATACCTGTGATATGAGAATGATTCCCATCTGGGCAAGGGCGTGGGGGAAACTTATGTGAGGCACAGAGCTGAGACCCCAGGAGAGGGCCCGACACACGCTTGGGCTCTGTGAGCAGCCTTGCCACTGGCTTGCTGAACAGCCTGCATTTGCATTCAGTCCGGCCCCGTGACTGCAGCCATGTGTCTGCTCATTCGAAGAAGCTGGTCTCTCTGGCTGCCACGCCGCGTTGTCTGCACCCATGCCCAGGGGTGTGGGACTGCATCCTCCTTCAAGGAGGAGCAAGGGCAGGGAGAGAGCCCCGGCCCTGACCCTGGAGCCCTGGGCCTCAGCGCTCTGAGCACTGGCTTCAGTGACCTCATCTGGGGACTGCTCCCGCCACATTCCAGGCACCAGGCTGTCAGAGCTGCCTTAGTCCCTCTGGGACTCCCTTCTTGGCTGGCTTTCATGCTCCGGCCTCTGTTGAACTGGAGAGTTTTCACAAAGTGGAGTGACCGTGCCAAGCTTACCAAACGATGGAATGTCTGACCGGAGGGCCAGGGTTTGTTCACTGTAGTCATGACTCTATTTTCTACTTTCAAAATAATGTTGGTATTGACCGTGAAAATGAGACTGGACTGTGTCGTTCCTAATTTAAGGAAGCTCAAGTCACAATCAAGCCTGTCGATTAATAATGCTCCTGGAGTCTTGCTATAAACCTTAATCCTCACAGCTACCCTGTGATTCCCACTTGTCAGATGGGGATACTGAGGCTCAGATTGCCGAAGTCGCCCACGGTCACAAGGCTGGTGGCCGCACACCAGCTTGAATTCGGAACTCCGAGTCCAGATCTTGCACACTTGGCCTCCATCTTTTTGATGAGTCTGAGAGCCACAGGCCGCTACGGCCGTGCCAGTGGAGTTAACCCCTCCCCAAAGGAATAAGAACCGCACCGGTTTCCCTGCAACCAAAGCTCCCGATTCCCAAGGTGGGGTTGAGCCCTTCCAGCTCCTGGCAGCCGGGCTGGGCCTATGTAGTTTGCACAGAGAAAAGCAGCCACATCCTTCACCTCTCTAGGGGGGTTCCTTTCTCAGCAGCATCTAGGAGGACACTTGGGGTCCCCCAACCCCTTGTTTTCTCTCAGGCATCATCAAAGTGATGGCCACAAGTCCATACCTAGTCACAGGACACGGGGCTCTCCACCCCATATGACCTGTGGATCTTTGGGGTGATGAAGCCCGCTGCCAACCACAAAAGCATCACAGAGGGTCCCAACCAGGAATGGGTACAAAGTCCACTCCAGTCTGCCATTCCCCTTGGGCCCTGGTGGGTAGGGCAGAATCAGGCACCATGGGGGCCCTGAGAAGGGGCTGGGCTTGGAGGTTGTGCTCGCTGTGGCCACTAGGGGGTGCCAGGCCCCACGAGGAAGCCAGGATCCCTCTTGGCCCTCAGGCCCCTTCCCCACTGCAGCTTACCCGCTCAGAGAGGTGGCCTGGCCTGGCCTGGAGGCGGGTCTGTGCAGGGGCCCTGGGTGCCTTGAGTCTGCAGAGGTGGCACAGGAAGAAGCCACTGAGGGTGGGAGAAGACAGGCAGGGATGGGGGCGGTGAGAGCAAGGGTTGGGGGCACCTGGCACCCATGCCCACCCACACTCCTGGGTAGCTTTTGGGAAGTAGGGTGGTGCTCAGAACCACTGATTGTGAGCTTTGCACAGTGAGTTTTTCACTCTTTAGGAAATCTTCAGAACAGCTCTGGGGTAGGTAGTGTCCCATTTCACAGATGAGGACAAAGAGGCCCAGAGAAATCATGGCCCAGGGTTGGGCTTTCAAACTGGACAGGGAAGCTGGGGCTATTAATTACTACCTGTTAAGGAGCTTAGATCTCACCAGAAGTGGGCTACACAAACTTCTTCAGCTGAACTAAGCTGAGTGGGGAGCCCCAGAGCCAGGTATGGCTGCAGACAGGGGCAAGCACAGGGCCAGACTGGGGTGGGCCACCCCCTCACCTTTGGGTGGTTCCTCAAAGGTCCAATCCAGCTGCAGGTCTGCGAGAGCAAAAGGAATGGATCAGGGGTGGGACAGCAGGCGAGGCCAGGGCACCCCGTGAGGCTGCCTCAGCTGCTCCCAGCCTGTTCCTGCCGGCGGCAGGAGCCAAGGGACTGAGTCAGGGCCTGAAGAATGTCCCGAGGGAGGGAAGGAATTAGGAGGGCCATTCTGGGGAGGGCTTGACATACCTCTGGCGGAAGACCTGAGCCAGCCAACCCGGGCAGCGGGCAGTGGACTCGCCCGGAACCCAGGCACCTCCCTCCTCGGTTCCCACAAAGCCCTGCTCCCAGACCATTTAGGCCTGCCCTCACCATGTCAGGTAGGGGAAACTGCACTTCCTCCTCCCCCTCTCTCCCTTTCTGAACCCTCTCCTAAATGAGCATCCTTCCCCCTTTGCCCAGATCCGTTCCACACAGAGCTCATGACTCCCTCTGGGGCTTCCTAGGAAAAGCAACTGACCGGCTGACCCACTGATCTCCCGGGCAGACAGACGTGCCCCCACAGCTCCTCAAACACCAACCAAAATACCCCTCTCTGGGCCCCATGCCTTCCTCCAGTTCCCAGGCTTTTCTGCTTTCCTTCCAAGCCCTTGGCTGGCTATGACTCACTCACTGTCCCCAGTTTCCCTGCTTGTCACGCAGGCTTCAGCCCCACCATTCTTGCCCCAGAAGCTCTCCCCCAGAACCCGGTGACTTCCACATTACCAAGTCAAATGGTCAGTGTATGGGCCCGTCAGCAGCATTTGTCACAGTGGGTCCCTTCCTCCTTCCAAATTCCTCTTCCGCTTGTCTGCAGGGAGACCACTCTGGTTCTCCTGCCACCTCCTGGCCACACCCCCTCAGTCTGCAGGGCTGAGTCCTGCTTGTCTGGGGGCCTCCCAGTGCCTTGGGCTCTGTCCTCAGGCCTCTGTTGCTCCCTCCCTAGGTGACCTTGTCTAGTCTTTTGGCTTAAAAGATAACACGTAGCCCAGGGATTCGAAACCTTGGCTGCACATTAGAATTACCTGGGCAATTTACATCAAAGTCTCTTTGAGTGAGTCCCAGGTATTTCTACCTGCAGCCCTGGCGTGGCTGCTGAGCTGAGCTATACGGACTTGTGTGTTAACTGCCCGATCAACACCTGCACTTGGATGCACCGCATCAAAAACCAAGGGCCGCTGATGCCAGCCCGCCCTCTCACAGTCCTCCCTGCAGGTAGAAGTGGCGGCTCCATTGGATGGCCTGCTCAGGCCTAAACTCAGCCAGGCCTCCTCTCGTTCCTGCCACATCCAGTCCCACCACTCTGTCTCTGAATCCCACCAGGCCTGCTGCTGCTGCCCCGGTCTGAGGTGCTGCGGTCTCTGGACTGGATGGAAGCCAGGCCTCCTGACTGGCCCCTGCCCTCTCTTCCCCACCTGGCAGAGCCTGAGCGAGCCTTTCCAGGTGTCACTTGTCAGAGCACGTCACTCTGCTGCTCAGAACTTCCCAGGGGCTCCTCAGCTCTTGCAGAACAAAAGCCAAAGTTCTTATAATGGCCCCAAAGGCCCTCCATGACCCAGTCCCATCTCCCACCACATGCCCCCTCCACTCCAGTCCAGCCCCTCCTTGATGCAAGAACATACTGGCTTGCTTCTGCCTCTGGGTCTCTGGGGTCCTCCGCTCTGCAGGGCTAACTCCTGCATTCCCTGAGCTTTCTGCTCGGATGCCACTGAGCTGAGTGGGTGGGGGCGGGGGGGGGCAACCAGTGCTTCCCTGCCAGCCTCCCCACACTGGGTGCGTGGGGCCTGTTGCTCCCTAGCGCTGACCCCGAGAGGCCATGCCGAGTGTTCGTGTTTGTTCTCTGTCTCCCTCCGGCCTAAGCTTCGCCCGGGCAGGAACATTCACTTTTGTTGTTTTTTAATCTTCAGAGCAGGAACATTCATTTTCCTACTCTTTTATCTTCAGCACCCAGAATAGTGCCGGCCCAGAGCGAGTGCTCAGGAGGTGGTCGAGAGAATGACTGGATGACTGGGGGACCTCAGGGATCCCCAGCACGCTCAGAGAACACTGGGGACAGTGTCTGCTCATCATTCCCCCACCCCCAAGGACAGGGAGGAGACTGGAGGGCACTTCCCCCCGCCCATTTCAGGACCCACTCAGCACAGAGTCTGGGGGGCTCCCTGAGCAGGGAAGTTCCTGGTTCCATCCCTCCCTTCCCGAGCCCCAGGGCCCGGAGCCCACTCAGGCAGAGAGGGCACTGGAAGGCTGTCTCACCTGGCATTTTTCGGTGAATCTGCTGGAACATTCTCCGGTACCAGTCCCTGGGACTGTCAACACTCTGGGGTCAGAAAAGGCACGGTCAGGCCACCCACCCAATAGCAAGCCACAGAAGTCCTTCCTTTGGAGTCTTTTCCCTGTAAGCCCCAGTGGGTGGGTGTGTGGTGTCTTTAATGTCAGTAACTTCGTGCGGCTCATGATACACAAAGAAGAAAAGAATTGTGGGCAGAGCCCCCATCAGTGACGACCCCAAGCTGTGAAATGCAGGGTGGGTCACACATTTTTCACTTTGCTTTCCTATATTTCTGATGTTGTTACAAAGAACGTGTGATGTGAAGTAATGGAAAATCGGTGCCATAATATCGGTGGAAATGGTCTTCCACATTCCCTGCCTCACCTGAGCCTTAAGGCAACCTTGGGAGGCAGAAAGCTTATGTCACTGACTTCAGGTTTGGGTTCAGGTTCAGGTTCAGGTGAGCCACTGGGAGCCCGGCGCCCGGGCCCACTCAGAGTCCCTCACGGCCATGAGGCCTTCTTGCCCAGGACTCTCCTCACTCGCGCAGCCAGGCATCCGCCCGGCAACCACTTCCCAAGCCCCGTGACCACGACACTAAGAAGGGTCCTCACAGTGCTGGCCCTCCGCCTTTGGGAGCCAGGGACATTCTTGAACCCCTTACTCCACAAACCACGTGCAACTCGGACACACAAGACTGTCTGTAATTTTGTGGGGCGCACAACGTTTGGAACCCATTGCAGTTGGACCCCTCATTTAGTCTGGAATGCTTGGGTACTGCCTTGGTTTCCCCCACTGTAATTCACAGAGCCACTCAACCTGGGTCCCGGGGCCCCATCCATCCCGGTCCCCAGCCCTGGACTCACAGATCGGGGGGCAATAGGCATGCCACTCTCGTCCACGGGCCCGATGCCCTCGTACTTGACCCAGCGCTTGTCCCGGCGTTTGCCGTCCTTGGTCCATGTCGCTGACCAGTTCTGGGGGTGCTGGGTGGTGGGGGTCTTCTGGGTCCCCGAGGGCCGGCTCCCAGGGCCTGGCCAGGTCTGATACCAGGCAGGGTCTGCGGGCAAGTACACGAGAGCGTCAGTCCCAGGCAGGGGCCCCACCTGGCTTCGTCTGCCCCTCGGCTCCTCAGAACGCCGATCCCTGTGGGTCTGAACATTTCAACATCTCCTCGTCAGTTTGAGCTGATGACGCAGACTCCCCCAACCTCCCATTCCCAGCAGGACCGCTGGCCTCCGCTTGTTTATGTTTTAGTTAAAGTGAATATACATGGATTTTGTCTTGAGAAATCTGTGCCCACCCACCCTGCCTTCCTGGGGCTGTCCTAAGAGCCTCCAGAATGAGGGCTGGGAATCATTACGTGCAGAAAATGTTGGGGGTGTCCCAGCTGAGGAAGCAGCAGGGTGGGGCAGAAAAAACGCTGGGCTTGAAGGGGACAGACCTGAATTCGGGCCACTGCTCTTGGGCACAGCAGTCAACCTCCAGTACCTCAGGTTCTGCTTTCAGGGGCATCATGACAAGGATTCGGGGACACCTAGCGGGTGTGACTGTGCCTGGCGCAGTGCCTGCTGCACAGCTGAGAGGCTCTGCATAAGGGACAGAAGCTCATTCACCAGACAGGGCTGCGGCCCCCGGCTTCCCCAGAGCCCTCAGCCCCAGGTCCCCAGGGCGGCAGCCTAGGGGAGGGCTTCTGTGTGGATCGTGACTCGGCCACTGCGGCTGAGACTAGGCTCCTCACCAGAAAGACGTCCACACCTGGCCAGGATGTCGAGGGATTAAATAAACGAAGCTCGAAGCCCGTAAAGCGTCCTTCCAGTGCCCAGCAACCATTTGTTAAAGGAGTCACCCCCTCAGCAGAGTGCCTGCCTGCTCCGGGCCCTGCACACAGAATCTCCCAGGGTCTCCTGGACCCTGTTGGCCCAGGCCCAGGGGACTCCCGGGAGCCCAGGGGCTGACCCGCTCTCAGGGCTGCCTGTCCACCTCATGCTGCGCTGGTTTGGGCGCCACACCCTTCCACAGCCAACATGTGCTCACACTCTCCACCCTTCCACCCCAGCCCGAGCTGCTCCCTGCCCTGCTGGAGCCCCCCCCCCACACACACACACACTTCCTTCCCTGGCACAGGGGCAGAGGGCAGGGAAGGGATGTGTCAGCAGGCTTGGGCTTTCACTCCCTCGGGCCGGCCACGCGCTGGCCCAGGAGGGGCAGTTAGCTGGGCCGGGGGCACCCCACCCCCATGGGGCTCCTGGACCAGGTTCTCTTGGACAGACCCACCTGGGTGCCGGGAAGCATCTCTCCTCGGTGGGAAGTGCCCATTGCACACAGTCCTGGGCGCAGGGTCATGGAACTGGAAATTAAGGGTGTTGGAGCCACCATTCCGGATCACAGGCACCTGTGGGGAGGGGCCGGGAGGGGCCAGGAGCAGCAGCTCAGGCCCCGAAGTTTCTGCGAAGGGTGGGAGGGATGGCTGCCAAGGCTCGGCTGCACCCCATGGGGGGGCTCCAAGTCCAGCCTGACCCCCACAGCTGTCTCCTGACCCATCCCCTCCTTCCAGTCCTTTAACCCTGCTGCTCCCCACCGGTCTTGCCAGGTCTCCTTGGACTTTGCTTCCTCACTCACCCGAGTTCCCCTGGAGGATGACCCTACGTGGGTCCGGAGGTGGCCAGGGATGAAGTCGTCCAGGCTGAGCCCAGCCGGGAGGCTGTAGGGTGGGGCCTGCATACTTGGGTCAAGGTCGGAGGACACCGGGTGCGCCAGCAGCTGTTCTGCACGTCCTCTATGGGAGGGAGGGAGGAAGGGAAAGCCCTGCTGGACTGACTGCCTGTGACCTCTGGGCTTGACCTCGGGGTGGGGGCAGAGGGGACGGCTGGGCGGGAGCTCCAGCACCCAGGAAACAGGCCACTCTGGGCACCCGCCTGCCGGCTGCCAGGGCCGGCTCCCAGAGGCACAATGGGCTGCTTGTTAGGCCCGGGCAGAGGCTCCGGGTGGGAGTGGGGGTGGGGAGGCTGGCCAGGAGCGGGCCTGCTGGCCAGGCCCTCTGGGGCTCTCACTGCACAGTCAGCCCATTCCCCCAGAGGGAAGGCAGAGGGAACTGGGGCAGCTGGCGGAGGAGGCCTGGGCACTCGGGACTTTGTTTCAGTTCCCTCTGCCTCCCTTAGCCCCGGTGTGAGCATCTGTTCCTCAGGCTGCGGAGTGGCCTTGGGCAACGGCAAGGCCGCTGCCCACTGCCCAGCAGGGACAAGGTTCCGGGGAGGGGAGAGCACAGGGCATTTCCAGGCATCAGGAGCTGCTCCTGAGCTCAGAGCGTTGTCGGCTGCCTTGTCGGCTGCCTTGTGCCAGGGTGCCAGTGGGGCGGGGGGGGGGGCGCGGGACAGAGGGCCGAGCAGTGGGTCAGAGAAACTTGTGCATGGAGGGGTGGCACTGATTCTCTCTCTCTCTCTCTCTCTCTCTCTCTCTCTCTCACACACACCCCACTTTCTCCTACACCTGCAGGCTGTTTTTTCAACAGGACTTCCTGGGAGCAGAATGCCTGATTGGCCAGTTGGGTTCTTTTGCCCCCTGATCAGAAGGGGCTCCAGGCATCCAGGAGATGGAGGTGGTGGGGTGGTCCCCACCAGAGACCAGTGGTGGGGAGCCAGCCCCCCTCGCCTGTCCCGGAGGTTGAACCAACCACCACCACCACCTTCTGAGGCTGGACCAATTCTGGTGTTTTTGTCCAGTGAGGTTTGTGTGTGTGGTGGGACCTGGGGGTTCCCGGGAGGGCTGTGAGGGCCTCTCACGGTGCTCTGTGAGTGCGTGTGTGGTGGAATGCAAGGGCAGCACGGCGCAAGTGACTTGGGGGGGGTCACCACCGGTCGGGGCATTGAGCAGCATGGGGGGTGCCAGTGAGGAGGGTGTCGGGGTGTCACCTGTGGGTGGGGGTGTGCAGCACAAAAGTTAGGAGACCAGAGGGGATGCAGGTACGAGAGGGGCTGTAGTTACTCCTGTACCCAGTCCCCGGGGCATGGAGGGTCCAAACAAGGCTGGGACAGATCCCTGTCTCTGGTCTGAGCAAGGTTTTCTTCTGACCCTTGAAAGGCCTATAGGGGACCAAGCTTTCCCGGGCCCATCCCTGGCTGCAAGGAGAAGTGGAGGGCTGGGCTGGAGGAGGGGCCGCTCACCAGCTGGATCCAATTAGGGCTCCCACCAAAAGCAACACATGCAGACATACCCCAGTTCCCGCTGCTCTCCCTCCCCTGTGGGGGGAAATCAAGGCAGAGGAGAGTGGGAGATCCCAAATGGGGGGCAGGCTGGGTCCCAGCAGCAGCCCCTCCAGGCTCAGCCGTCCCAATGGCAGCTGACCCTGCCGCCTTCCCAGCCTCCATCTATCCAGTCCTGTCCTGCTCAGTCCTCCAGCAGGATTCGGAGGGTGGGGTCCCCCCACAGCACCCTATTTTTCGGGTGTTGTTGGGGGCCCAGTCTGCCTCTCCCTGTGGCACAGCTCCAGGGACATGCAAGGGTGGGTGTGGAAGGGTGGGCTGAGCGTTTGACGTGGTAGCCCTGTCACAGGGAGAGGGAGGCATGGGGGAGACTGGCTCCTCATTGGGCAGAGGACAGAGGGGGTCCTCCCCGAGTGCAGGCCGCCCTGCACCCCCGCACCCAGCTCCAAAGCGCTGGAAGTGGTGAGGGCTCTGCGGTGGCCCGGGCTCCCTCACCCCTGGAAGTACCTCCCCGACCCGGGCTCGGCTCTAGACGCCGTCGCGAGTTATTTTCTAGCCGTGAGTCCACGTGGACAGGACGGGTTTTCTCAAACTTTCCTTTTTGTGGCTTGAGAGGGGGCACTCCTCACCTCTTTCCACCAGCAGAGTTTGGGGCGAGGACCCCGGGGGATGGCTCTGTGCCTCCTTTTAGGGCCGGGCGCAGGTGCCTCCCGGCACCTCTGCTCCCCACACCTACCTTCCCTGGCGAGCGGGTGGCGGGGACTGAGGGCGCCCGGGAGGACAGGAGCATCTCGGCCGGGCGCCTGCCTGGTACGGCCGCGGCGGGCCCTCGGGGGGAGGGCAGGGAGCGGTGCGGGCTGCGCTGTCCGCCCTCGTGACCGCGACAGGACCGGCTCGCGAGGCCGGGCGCCCGAGGAGGAAGAGGGATGGACAGAGCTGAGCGCGCCGCGAGAGGAAGGACGGGCGAAGCGCGGGCGGGAGGGCGGCCGTCTGCCTTCCTCCAATCTGGACTGGGAGCCCGGGAGGGGGGCGGGTGTGGAGGGCCTGCGGGGCGGGGGCTCGGGCCTGCGGCCCAGGCCTGCCGGTGGCCTCTGTCGGGGCGCGCGGCGGGGACGCTGTGGCCCTGGCGGAGGGGGCCGGGCCGACCGCGCGGAGGCGCCGGGAGGGGCCGCCAGGGTCCCTGGGGAGCCCGCTCTGGTTTCCCAGCTGGCTCTCCGCCCCCCATCGCAAGGTTGGCGTCGGGGCGGGCGCTGGGGGGTGGGGTGGGGTGGGGGCGAGCGCCACTCAGAGTTTCCAGCGACATTTCCAGTGGGTGGGAAGGGACCCGCTGCACTGCAGAGCCAGGACGGAGGGCACGAGTCATTAAAGAGCTGGGCGCAGCTAGCAGCTGATAACTGAGGCTGCAGCCGGGAGAAGGGAACGCGCTGCAGACGGGCTGGGGCCGAGATAGGGCTCCCCGCAGGCGGCCGAGCCCCGGCCCGAGGGGCCGACGCTGGGCCCCGCCGCCTGCCCCCGGCTTGGGAGAGAGATTTTGGGCTTGCGTAAGCGCGCGTCTGGGTGTGTGCAAGCGCACACACCCGCGTGCACGCGTTGCCAAACGGGCGAGGCTCACTCGAGCGAGCCCCGCGGCAGGCGGCCGGGGGAGGAAACCGGCCGACGGCGCGGCCCCCTGGGAGGGCCGCGCCCCTGAAGAGGATGAGGGCGGCTCCCTTCGGCGGGGACCCGGTCACCGGGTCTTGGTGTTCCCACACACCGCATTTGTTTTGATCTCGCAGCTCTTCCGCTGTTCCCGCGGCTGACTGTGGCCCCAGGAGCCCAACCCCGTGGGCTCCCGACCTCTCAGACCGTCCCTTCTCCCCTCTGCCCGGCCCCTGCGCGCTCACGGGGCCTGTGGTGGGGAGTGAGGGCGCTCGGTGAGTGTCCCCCACCAGCAGGGACAGCTCCGGAGTAGTCCTTAGCCCCTGGCTTGGCTCTGGGACCCCGAGTCCCAAATAGCAAAGAGGTACTGGGCAAATTCGGATCTATTTTTGGAGTAGTCGGTTATAAATTAGGAAAATATGAAAGCAGTCGTTGCGTATCTACTGGGGGCAAGCTCGCTGTCCCGAGGCCTCCACGCACTAGAGCGGCGATTTTCAACGCGTGTCCGCAAGAATTTTTAATACATGCAGTAGCTGCCTATCGGGTCAGGGGCACTGACCTCTTTTTCCTTGGGTGGTCAAAATAAAAATAAAAATGACAGCAGCAGCCAACACCACAACAGCCTTCCGGTGTAAATGCCATGTCTTGAACCATAAATTTATAGGTTCTATAATAGAGTTGCATTTTATTGGTCCCGTGGCATGATAAGGTTGCGTCTGATTGGTAAATTCTTGGCACCAGACATCCTTCTGTGCAAGTATAGGCCCCTGATGTCTTAAAGTCACTTTGGAGCAAAAAGGGTGGGCAATTACTATTATTACTTTTTCGGTAAGTCAATCAAAATCGTACCTTTTTGTTGTCAGACTGGCAAAAACTTTTTTTTTTTTTTTTGGTGTGCCGCAGAATTTTAATAGTTTACGTGTGCTGGAAGATGAAAAATGTTGAAAATCGCTGCACTAGAGCGTTATCAAGCGCTTCATTCAACTCAAAAATTGAGTAGGAGGGGAATGGAGGAAAGATGAAACCATTTGTTCAGTTCACGGGCTATCCGGCTGGTGTTGAAGACGCTGAAACCCTGTCGCAGTGAACAGCGGAAGGGACGCTCGGGCCGGGGACCGAGAGAGGAGCCGGGAGAGGAGCGGCTGCGGGCGGCTCTGGAGCCCGCGGGCTGCGCTAGCACACAGGGACCTCTGGGGGGCGCACGGGGAAGCGGACGCAAGGTTTCCCAGGAAGAGCTTAGAAATGGCCCCAGGGGTTCGAGTCTTGCCAATTGTGGGGGTGGTATTTTGTAAAGGCTCTTATGACACTGCGCCGGGAACTCAACGGGATACCCTCTAAGGCCCCCTCCAAGCGTCTGTGATTCTCCGGGAAAGCTGAACTATGGGGGTGGGGAGTGGACACAGCAGCCCCACCAGAGAAGACAGCCGCAGGAAGGAGGGCTGGTGGCAGTGTTTTCCCTGCTCTAGAGCTTGGACTGTGCTCCTCACCATCCCCTGCCCGCCCCTCGGGACAAATGATGTGCCCATTTCCCTGGTCACCAGTTTCCTTCCCCACCTGTCACGGTCCTCGGGACAAGGAAGGGCTGCATCTCTTTCATGTTCTTCCTTGTTCTCCAAAGATGGTGATGCTGAAGATATTCCAACTCCAGGAACCCTGGTCATGCCCCTTCTCACCAGCAGCGAGCTTCTCTAATTCTCTAGGGCTCTGACCTGGACTCCAAGATAAATATTTGATGTAGAGGGTGCAGCAGAGCTGACCACGGCCCCAACTTCCTGTTTCTCTCACAAAGGGAGCTGGCAGCCATGGGTAAGGAGCTGGGGCCTGGCTGCCAGCGACATCTCTGTGGGAACGGGGTAGAGCACAGAGCTTGGTAGGAGGCAGGCAGGCCCTGCTGGACACCCGCAGAGCCGTTTGACTTCTGCCTGTCTGCTGTCACCCGGGCTCCCCTGGGCTCATCCCCTGTCTCAGCCCAAAGCCTCCTTGGCTCTGGCACCAGCCGGAATCGTTCTCCTTCCCAAAGTCTCAGGCTCTGTGCTTGTCCCAAGGAGGAGCTATTATATAGATAACAGCTTCCCTCCACCCTGTTTCCTGATGCCCACCAGCCTCATAGAAGAGAGGATAAGAAACAGACAGCATAAGGCACCATGACTGGCCACCACTTTCCTGCCCCTATTTTAGGGGTAAAAATCCCTAAGGGAAAGAGTAGCATATCCAGAGCTTCAGCCAAGAACCAGGTATCTGATTTCCTGACCCCTCCCTCCAGGCTCAGCTCTGCTTGTTGCTGGCCCCAGCCACAGACAGCTGGCAGGGTTTAGGGAGAGGCTGGGGCTAGGCAGGCTGTCCTAGGTAACCTGGCTGTTGTCAACAACAGAGCAGATTCCTTTCATCCTGTTGCATTATCTCCTGACTCCCTTATCATCTAACAGCACCCTCCCCACCCCCCACCGTGACTCTTCCCCACCTCTGGCGCTGCCTGCTGTCAGGGGGCCACCCTGCCTTCTCAGAGCCACCCGAGCCACGCAAACACAGTTACATAACTGCTCTGTTTTCCTGGCTATCTGATCCCGGTCAGCTGTGCGCCCCTCCCCCACCCCTTTGGTTCTGAGGATTACCCCCCCAAGACACCCAAGTTAACAGAGGTCTGTCCATGACCACCCACTGCCCTAAGGGGGATTAGCCAAGCGTCTGTGCAACCAGGTGGCTCTTCCTAAAGCCAGGGGTGGGGGGGCGCTCTGCAAACCAGCCTCTGTCACCAAGAGGAAGGGGGGAACGGACACAGCCCTGAAGTAACTTTTCATTGTGAGTGGGATGAGCAGAGTGGGAAGTCACTTTCATTTCTCCAGTGGGAAAAGGAAGCAGGGGTTCCCAGAAGACATAAAACTGGACTCTATGCCATTTCTTGAGGAGTGTCATTAACGGGTGCAGGAAGCTTGCGGTCAAATGTCACTCTCAGATCTATCCTGAGCAGCCGAGTGGCATCCTGCACCAAGCCTCAACCCCCCGTTGGACAGATAGGTAGCCTCTGCTACCCCTTCCCTCCTCCTCCCCCAGGGATGGACTCTGGTTGGCTCTTTAGTGAGGCTTGAAGCAGGCCTCTCTGTGCCCTCAGGAAAGTGCTCAGTGCCTGCCAGGGGACCACAGCAGGAGTCGGGGCTGTGTGCGGTTCCCTGGGCCTCACCCCTTCCTCTCGGGCCCTCTCCTGATTCCAGCTCCCGCTCACACCAAGTTCTCCCGATGGCCTTCGTCCAGGCCAGACCTTCATTACAGGAAGGGAAGCGACAGAAAAGGAACACGGAGACTCACTGTGAGGCTCGGAAGACTCCCCTAAACTGACAAGGTCATGACCTGGGCCATCTGGGCTCCAAGATTTTGGGTATAGTCCCTGTAAAGTAAGGGATCTCTGTGGGTGAAAAAATACCCATTCCAGGTCAGGTGTGTCAGTGTGGGGGCCAGGCAGCCAGGGGGAGTGGGCGGATCCCCAGAGGAGCAGAGAGGAAGGCTTCTGGGCCTGCCTTGCAGGGACGGCCTTTGCACAGCCCGTGTGATGGCCGGGACAGGGTTCTGTTCAGGCTGCTCGGAGTCAACCGCATCTGAACCTCAAAGGCTGTGAAAGAACTTGGCCTCTTGTCTAGTTCACCAGCCTATCTGCAAGGAAGCCTCTGCACTGACGTCCCAGCCCCCGCCGGCCACTCTGTCCTTCCTTCTACAGATGAGCAAACAGGCATAGGCGCCAATGGGGTGTCTTTGAGAACCGAGCTGGATGAACCTCTTTTAGTCCTCAGCAAAGTAAGAGCAAGAGGCTGCCCGCTCTTTAGAAAGCAGATTTTGTGATAAAGGATAAATAAGTGATGACCTCAGAGGGAAAACTCAGCCAAGTTCACTGGGCCGCAGAGGCCACACAGACCCGGAGCCTAGAAACTAGGTCTGCATCCAGCCTCTTTCTCTGCGTGGCCACGTCAGATAAAGAGGATAAGAGGGCTGGGTTGCTGGCCAGCGGACACAGCACGGTGGCACTCTGGCCTCCAGACAAAGAGCAGCCTTGTCTTCCCGCCCCCTTGAGCTCTGCCGCGGCGCGCACCTCCTCCTAACTGCTGCAACGTCCCAGAGACTGCCTAATTTACCGTGAAGCTAGTAACTCGCTGCATCAAAATTAAACAGACTTTCTTTCTGAAACCTGGAAGTTATGATTCAAAAACAAGACCTTGCCGTTACTAGAGCAGGCAAGAAAGTGAGGATTGAATGTACACGGAGAGGTAAATGTGAATTTGCACTTGAGTTCTTCATTTCCAGGCATAAAAAAATTATTTTTCATAATGCTGGAAATTAGGGTCCATAATTAACTCAGCATTTGGCATAATTAACTCAGGTTTAGCTGAGGTATAAGGACATTGCTAAGTGAGGAGGCTATTTATTGGGAAAGATGCCAAAATGTGTTCTGGGCTTAAGAGAAATTAGACATCTGGGCTCATTTTCTGGCTTATAAATTGCAATGTGGCCCCTGATGTCATCAGTAAAATGGCCTGACTCAGGCCAAGCAGGCCCTGGGCTCACCCTTTTGCTTTTCCTGCCAAAGCAACAGAATTCCCTCATGGACACATTTTTCCTCCAAGGGCCCTGGGGGCTTTTCCCACCCCCACCCCACGGGCTCAGTGGAGGTTATTTTTCCCTGTGAATCCTCATGCTTTGCCTGCTTTTCAGAGGAATCAGAAGGGTGGCCTGATACTTCCTTTTCTTAGCGATCCCATTCAACGTTCAACTTGTCTCTGGTTTCTTCCACTTCTCCTGAGATGGAAATCATCCATGTCTGTGATCAGGATCACATGCAGAGATATTAAAGTACTGCAATGATTATTTGTATCTTTTGTAAGGATTTCGTCTTCTGGGATGTCTTCCCTTCCTTGTCTTTAAGCCGTGGCCTCTGCCGCAGAAGCCAGCGAATGGAGTGTTAGTGGGCGGGGCGCCAGGAAGGAGGCGGGGCACAGGAGTGGGTTCCCAGAGGGAGAGGCAGTTAGTTACGCCACGGAAGCCACCAACGACACTGGTTTAATCCTCACCTGAGGTGGCTATTATTATTGTTGTTTTTAGAGAGAGGAAGGGGGAGAGAGAGAAACATCGATCGTTTGGTCGTCACCCATAGGCACAGGACGGGGGTCGAACCCGCCAACTTTTGGTGCACAGGATGACGCTCCAACCAACTGAGCCACTCCACTAGGGCCAAGCTGGTTTAAATCTAAAGGGCTGAAGAGGTGAAGGGAAGAGGTCTTTTGCTGAGAGGGTTCTCTTCCTGGAGAGGCGACTTCCTTGGCAACCTCAGAGACCAGACTGGACACTTGTGGGATTATCGAGCGGTAACAGCCACCTGTGAGTGCCTCCACCAGGAAATAAAGGAAATAGAGACACAGGGAGCCAAGTAAGTTACCACCAGCACTGGCTGGTGTGGCTCAGTGGATTGAGTGCGGGCCTGGGAACCAAGCAACCATGGTTTGATTCCCAGTCAGGGCACATGCCTGGGTTGCAGGCCAGTTCTCTCCCTCTCTCCTTCCTATCCCCTCTAAAGATAAGTGAATAAAATCTTAAAAAAAAAAAGAGTGTTTGCTTTTCTTTTTTCTAAAAATAACTTCCAAATTACAGTAAGAAAGTTATAACACATTTCTTGTTCACAGTAAAGACTTAATAAATGATCTCTGCCAAGAAAGAACATCTCCACCATTTTCTTTAACATTACTGAGAAGCAAGAACAAGCAGGTCCTCTCCAAGCACAAGGAAATAATCCAGCATCCAGAAGAGCCTTAGAGAACGTGCACCCGCGCTAATCTCCTGGGCCTGGCCACCTCACCCAGAGGGCAAGGCCGGGCCCTGCTGGGAGAATGCCCGCTACAGGCCCCAGCGCACTGAGGAGGGGAAGCAGGGCTCCTGACAGCATCTCCCCAGGGGCGCTCCCTGACAGACAAAAAATGTCTTCACTGCCGCAGACCGGGGTCTGGAGTAGGCCTCCCCCTCCTCACGTGCACTTCACTTCAACACGCAAAAAGAAAGTGTCACTTGGAGACAGCCCCGGCAAGGGGTCGGGGAATCTGCGAGAGGACTTACGGGAAGCCGGCATGCATGGCCCAGCTTTAGAGCTGCTCAGAGGGACAGTTGGCGTCCATGTCCTCCCTTCTTGATCTCGAGCCGCCCCGACTAGTCATGTGGATGTAGAAGAGAATATGCATAACCCTGTCGCAGACGACGGTGTTCTTTAAAGTCCTGCCCAGGTTGCTCGGGTGTGAGGCCCAGACCCCCTGGGAGGGACTGTGCTCTCCAGTGTCACCTCCGCCTTTGTGACTGCACAGATGAAGGTGGCTGCCCCTGACCCTGTGCACTCTGGGCCAGGCCGGTCAAGCCTCCGAGTAATGCAGGTCCCCTCGGACACGCTCTGTCAGCGGCACAGAGCTCGATGGTTATCACAGTTCCTGCTCCACTCAAGATGAGAGTGACAACCTTGTTTTTCAACTGCAGGGCTCTCTTCCTCCGTCTGCCCTGTCTCGGGCCTTTCCTCCGAGCACTGGCTCACAGTTGCACCAAGGAGGCCCGTGCCGATCAGCCCTCCCGAGCTGCTGCCCGGGTAAAGCTGGACCCTCCCCCGGCTGCTGCTGGGTCCTCGGCTGCCCTCCTCTCCCTCTCAGAGCAGATCTCGGAAAAGGCGTGGGCCAGGGGCTGGGCGAGCTGGTGTCCATGGTCACAATGGCAAGTAATTCAGAAAACGGAGCCTCCCTCTGAACTCTTTTCTGCCTGGGTGGGAGTGGCTGAGTAATGCTTTGAGAAAAGTGGGTTCCGCTGTTACTGTGACAACTATAACAAACATGGGGGGGTTCTAGAATATTTCAGCAGGTCTTTATGGGTTTGGAAATAAGTTTCAATACCAAAACCAGAAAGAAAAATTGAATAATTAACACACACACACACACACACACACACCCTCTACATCTGTCAGTCTAGAGCAGGCTTTTTCTAAAAACCATTTTAAACGACTGGTTACTCAGATGGGTCTTAATTTTCAAGGCCTTTGAGTTTCCTATTTATAGATAAGGTACAGCCAAAAATTCTGGGTATTGTCTACAATATTTCATAAACCAGTAGGCAAAGGAAACGGATTTCAGCCTTACTCATTCTGGGAGGCTGCGACCATGAGCAGCAAGCCTGGCTGTACCTCACGCAGCCATGGCTGTAACACTCGTCTTGGAGCAGCAGCCTCAAACGTGTGCTTTACAACTACACAGAAGAGAATCCAAGGGGCAGCGCCAAAGCTGAAATGCCCCAAAGGTATCCAACTTGAATAAATCCCACCCTTGCTCCTTAATGTCATTAAATAGCAATATTCTGTCGACAACACAGTAAGTTTTTCTTTACCTATTTTGAACTTATCCTGAATTATGAGGAGAAGCTGTGTAGGGACAGAAAAGGCAATGTGCATACAGACAGACAAAAGGACACGGAAATATGTGGACCCCTGGGGAGTCGGTTCTTCGGTCCCCAGGCCAGGAGCCACATCCAGCCCGTCCGAGTACGAGAAGCAGTGTTTACTCCACTGGTTGGTATCTAGTCACAAAAGCCACGGGATGGCCAGCGTCTGCGCCCATCACCGGGGCTACCTGGAGGTTTGAAAGGAAGTGGAGGCCGCTCTTGTTTTAGCGTCCTATTGAGCACACATGTGCACAAACACATACACGGCTTATTGGTGGGTTTTTTTTTTTTGCTCCAAATATTAAGCACACAGATTTTAAAAGGATATATGTTTTGAACTTAGGTAAGTTTTTAAATATTTACTTTAAAAATAGTCATCTGATCAATTTGAGAGTTTGTATGATGTGGATACAGACGAAACTGGGAAAACTTGTCCTTGAGGAGCATCTTTTCTAAGGTGGTATTTCATTCACTTCACAAGCGTTTACAAAGAAGCCCTCCAACGTGTCTAGGGAGCTGAGGTAAGAGGCTGTGTGGATTTTCTCCCCCAGATTAGACAATAACTTAAAGAAAATAAGGTCACAGTGGACCTTAAAGTGAAGGCGAAGAAGAGTCAAGTATTTTTAGCATCTGCAGCACACGCAGGCGAAGAGTTCAGGGAAGAGGCTCTGACGGCTCCAGCACTCAGGGCTCTGTGTTCATTCGTTGGCAGCGACGGAGCTGGAAAGAAATCGTGGTCCTACCGCAAACCCACACGGTCAACCAGCCATCTTGGGAGCTACCATTTAGATTAAAATGTTAAAAAATATATGCTAAAACCCTCCAACAAAATCTAGGGTGAAGAAGTACTGTTTTTCCAATATAGTCTTAACATCCCTGCCTTCTAAACCGTCTCAGAAGCGAGCCTGGGCAGCCGCACTGGCCGACAACACCGCTTTGGGAGCCTTTGCCTGTGCCACTCAACGGGGTTTTCAAGCCCAACTGCCTTCAAGAGCTGTTGCTGCTCTATTCCAAACTCCGACTTTCTTGAACGACTTCCTACCTCTCTGCTGTGGCCAAGGCTTCTTACAGCTCAGACGGTGCCTGGAAGACACGTCCTTCGGTCACGCCTCTGTCCAGGAGGGCACGAATTCCATTTTTAAAGAAGTGGTAATAATCAGTAAAGGCCTTTTCTCCCTCCTTGTATAGGTTTTGTTGGCAACCCAATAAGAGATTTTTCATCTCTGTCCTCAATAGCCTTCTCTTTTCTTTTAAATAATTTTTATGTATTGATTTTAGAGTAAGAGAAAGAAAAGGAACCTCGATTTGTAGTTCCACTGAGTTATGCATTCAGTGATTGCTTCTTGTATGTGCCCTAAGGCTGAACCTGCAAACTTGGTGTATGGGGACGACACTCTTAACCAAGTTACCCGGCCAGGGCCTTCCTATCTTTTTATTTTTAATTTTTAAAAAGAGTTTACTTATTTATTTTCAGAGAAAGGGAGAAAAACATTGATGTGTGAGAGAAACATCAATTGCACACCCCACAACCGGAAACCTGGCCTCAGCTGAGGCATGTGCCCTGACAGGGAATCGAACCAGGGACTTTTCAGTTCACAGGCCAGCGTTCGATCCACTGAGCCACTCCAGCCAGGGCCTTCCTACCTTTTTCAACAGAGTAATTCATGCCACCAGGTTCCAATCCTCAAAATGCTTTGATCTTTATCATAAATAAATTTGGAACTGCTAGTAAAAGATATAGAAAACAGAGGTAGATGATCTAATTCCTCGTTTTTCTAGTGAAACTATGTTTTGGATAAGGCTTTTGTTGTCCTTGAAATTCTCAACATGAAGTACTGGGTTGGCCAAAAAGTTCGTTTAGTTTCCTCAGTACAATGGCTCTAGTACTGCTTAGCTGCCTTTAACTTCATTCAAAACAATTTTGTTAGATTGTATTGTAACGGCTGTCATGTCAGCATGCATTTAAAAAAACTTATTATCAAAATTGGTGAATTTTTTGTGCAGCTGTTTTGGTATTGAAGCTGGAAGAAAATACGCAACATTTTTGGCATATTATGCATGCCTTATAATTCCAAGAAAGATAAAAATGCATAGTACACTTCACAAAAAAATTTGTGAAGTGTACTATGGAGAAGTACACTTCACAAATTCGGAGAAGGTGCCGTGACTGATCAAATGTGTCAAAGTGTATAGTTTTTTGGTACTACTGACATTTTGGCCAAGTCACTCTCTGCTGCGAGGCTGTCCGATGCACTGGAGGATGTTTGGCAGTGCCCCTGGCCTCTACCCACTAAAAGCCAGCAGTGGGAGAGAGCCGACATACTCAAAAAAGCCAAGTCTATAAAGTTATTGGTGAAAATGAAAAATACGTCTTCTATTTATGGGGAAAACTAAACAGACTTTTTGGCCAACCCAATATAACTGTCTGAGACACATGCTTCTGTGCTGGGTGCCTACACCCCGAGGACACTAGGAGGTTCCACCAATGTGCGCTCTGGTGCGGTGTCGCCCAGCTACGCACGCCCACTGCCAGGCTGGCCAATGGGTATCATGACACAGCCCCTGTCACCAGGCAAAATCAAACATGGGAGCCTAGGGACCGCGAGACTTCCCTCACTAGTTGGCTGTGACTTGAAAAACCAAGGGAGGGTTATTCGAACATTATAGCTGAATGTAGGGAACCGCTTTGCATGGTGTGGAAACATAGCTCAGGACTTGCGTGGAAAACCCGTGGGGAGAGAGTGGCATGCAGGGCCACGCCCATGGATAGGTTCTCCCGTGGGGAATCAGACCTGCATTGTACCTAGGCTGTCGTCAGACTTGCTTTTGCCTACACTCCCTCACCCTGGATTGAGACAGCAAGTGCTTACCATAACTTCCTAAAATCTGAGCTAAACCTCCCAAGTATAGAGTGTGACCAGTTCAACCACTTTTCCCCTTGGTCTGCAACATCCTTCTTTTTGAAGGAATTAGCAATGTTCTTTCCTTTGTTATCTGTAAAAGTTAATCCCCTGCAGTGAACCTGTGCACAGTAAATGAGGACTACCCTCCATGTAATGTACCCAGAAAAGCAATAAAACCCTGTCCAGCAGGGACTGGGGGCCTCTGGCCCTTTGGCTGTCTCTCTCTCAGACAGTGGCCATGCTGTTCCTTTTTCTCTACAGGATTTCTGTTGTCCGTGTGTATTTGTTCACGAGCAGCCACAACATACACGGACCCGGCAGGCCAGGACCCACCACATCTGGACACCTGACTTGTATTCTAAAATATGCTGACAGACACTGCCATACAGTTCAACCTCATGAGTGTTGAAAGGTGAAGAAACACCCTGTAACTGACATAGAAGATATGGAATCCTCACTCATCAGTGCCCTTCAGCAAGACTTCCAATTCATAAAGGGATCGTTCTATCCTAGTCTGTCTTCATTACTCCAATTGGTTAAAAAAAAATACTGACACAGGAAAAGGAGGACAGGGAGAAGAGATGCTGTAATGGCTGATGCGATACACAGAAGGCCAAGTACCTCTGTTTAAGGTTTACAGAGGGCACTTAAAAATGTTTCAACATGGAGCTTTCTTTGCAGATGGGGTAAATCACCTGGGGTTCGAAAATGAAAGCAAAAGGATCTGAAAACAGATAAGGAAACTCCCAAGTTCTAAGGGAAGTTTACACCAATTGTGCCCATAGTTAGAGGAACACACTTTAAGTAATTCTAAGAAAACCTCTCATTACATTTTGTCTTACTAGAATGCATTAAAAGGAACTGAGAGTCCAGTAGAAAGTAGGTTATGGAAAACATTCCCTTTGGCACTTAAAAATCACTGGGTTTGGGTTATTCATTTAGAAATTCTACTATAATCAGGTTTTCCATAAGAAGAGAAGTTTAAGCCACTGAAATCTAAGAGATATTATTCAGTGGTATCCTGTAGAAAGGAAAAAAAAATCATCGTATTGGAAAAGTCATTAGTCTGAAATGAAAGAGATTAGCTTCCAGTGACGAGACAAAAGGCTGGCTAGTTCAAGGCAGAAACCCGGGTGGATTTTCCAAGGCCCTTTTATTAGGGGGCAGTCCCCTTTATAGCACAGGACTTCACGTATGGATCAGATAATCAGATCAGTTTCCAAAAACTAAGAAAAAAGGGGAAAACAAAACAGATGCACAGATATATAAAACATAAAGAGTTTACAAAACGGTCGCCTTTCTCACAGAACAAATGCAGACGGTAGTATAAGTGACCTCCAGGTTTATATTGTTTAAGTTGCTTTGTTTTGTTTTCCAACAATAAATAAATAAAATTTGTTCCTATGTCTTTGATCCACCTGTGCCACCGCGGGGCTCCAAGTCATTAGTGGCTTTTCTGCCCCTGTCGCTCCTGTGTGAGGCGTTTGATTGGACCGAGGTCATCGATTTCCCGGGCCCACCAAGGTCCTGGCTATCTCTTCGGGGTGGCATCCGCTCGTTGATTCGGTCCAGGCCTCGGGCTTCTTCAAAACTCCGGATCCTGTGCTGAAGCGAAAACCCTCTGATGGCTACAGAAAAACAGGAAAGGGAGGAGCTCAGTTGGACAGTAGAGTGGCAGGCTCCAGGTTTCTTAGCACACAGCAGCCTCCTTGGGAAAAACACAGAAGGGTGGCTAGGAGCACATGTCTGGTGAGGGCCACAGGCAACGTTTGATTTGAATTAGCTTTGTCTTGAAGCTACTAATTCCTTAAGGCCCCCAGGGCAGCTGAAAGGTGAAAGTCATTTTCAAAGGAGCTGAAACGACTGATCATACAGAAATATGCCCAACAAAAAGGAAACAAGTTCTTATTTAGCCCCAGTTCGTTTGGGAGAGTTTCTTATGGGCCAGAAACGTGCTCAATATGAGAGAAAAAAATCAAACACTAGAACATAGAACAAGTTAAACAGAGTAGTTACTTTAGCACAAACATCACAGTGACCACAAAGAAAGGTAACAAAAGAACTAGTGTTTTTGTTTACAAGGACAGCTTTTTATCTTGCACAACCAGGAGCTGAACGTTAAGTCAAAGCCATTTTTCTTTGATTGAGCTTTTGTATTGTCAAGGAAAAGGCGTTCCTATTTCGCACCACCTTACCAAGCAAAACAATTAAATTTATAACACAATATCAATTCCAATGATTTTGATGCACAGATTCATAGGTTACTGTTACTTAAAATTTGCTTTCACAGAAACACAGTTTAGCTTGACTGTGTTATGGCGACAGAAATGAATCAAACTAAATTCCGGTCTACTTTTGCCTCTGCTCTCGATATTCTTTAGCATCATTAGATAAAGAGGCTGACCTGTTTGAACTCTAGTAATCACATGGGTGTCTCATATATGGAAGAGCTATAGGATAAAACTACTTGATCCCTCAGGCCAGTTGCATAAGCTGCGGCCATTGTATCAAAACAGAGCCCAGAAAGGACTTCAGTTGTGGAGGGTCGTTTACATGAATACGACTACAGGATACTTTGTGAGCACGCCTATCTATTCCTTTTGTCACTGTTACAGTTCTGGTGATGCAATAATAAAAGACTTCAAATGCTGACAAAGCTTTTTAAAACCAGCAGACAGACACATGATCACATCTATCACAGGAATACGGCCATACCTTCCTGGGCCTCTACCGCTTCTACTGTGGCTGTAAGAGGCAGGAGCAGTGGCATGCAAAAATGAAGACAGAGAAGAGTGAGTAAACCAACAGCAGTGCGGCCAGCAGCCGTCCTGGGGCCCCCTCCAGCCTACTCCCATCCATAACGAAAGTCGGCAAGTCAGAGAAACGAGAGGACTACTGCGGAAAACTGAATGGGGGTGAGGGGAGGTGCAAGGTGGGGCGAGTCTCTAATAACATTTCAGGTAGCATGAGAACCTTTTAGCTAATAGCTTTATTTCTAAGCCAGCTGGGTCAGTCAAGAGTTATATTGTTTTCCTGATTTTAAATAGGCAGGTGCTAATTAATGTCTTGACATTCACATAGAGTCAAATAATTTCAAATAATTTAACATTCTAGCAGTTCTTGGGTTTGTTGTGATAGCTCGGATGGTACTGAGTTGAGCTGCTGCTGGGTCCTATTCAAAAACACTTATTTGAAACTACTTCTGATTGCTCCCAAGCAACTTAGGTGGGACCCAATTGTTGTTTTATACTACTTAACAGAAAAGAATGACCTTTGAATAACACACTGGCATTCAGAAGGAGAGGAAAATGGGTTTTAACTGAAGGGTTATTTTTTTTGTCCAGGAGTGGAGTACTAAGCTAGCAAACGCATAAAACTGTTCAATTCTGGATACAGATTCACGTACCCTCCTGGACTGGAGACCCAGCGGAGGCTGGCCCTCCAGCAGCACGGCCCTACCCACTGCGGAAGAGCCGGCCAGCCATCAGGAAGGCCGTCCTCCCCTTCAGTGGTAGAGAAGGAAGCAGTCAGCACCAAAGGGTTAAATTTCTAGCATCTTCTTTTAAGACAATAAAAGCCCTACTATATGAAAATGTTATAGGCTATAGTAGCAAGAAAGATCCTAGTAGGAGAACCCTGTCAGTTCCTCCAATACCAACTTTTAAAAAGAAGAAAGAATAATGAACAGTAACAGTTTGCTCTTCCAGGGGAGGAGATGGGGAGAATGGAAAGTCAACTTCCTAACACAATGTGAAAATGGAAAGTTGGAATCAACTTATCAAGGGCTTGCATTTGTCAACCACATGTAGGCATGTGTTAAAGCAATGTCTCACCCTCTCTCCTCCTCAAATAGAACAAATAAAGTTCCACAAGAAAACCACAGTGTCTTCAAACAGTGTATCACTGATGCAACTGTCAGGAAGTAGGAGAACAAAGCATGGCCTGAGATCATATCCAGTGTTGGCCTAATTAGAGTTTTAAAGCGATGTGGCAAAAAGTGGACTAGTGTTACATTGTTTGGGGACTCCTGGAATTGCTCTTGGCACTGGTATTTTTTTTTAAGATACTGGCCTGTACTGGAGGACATTTTAAGAAATGGTCATATAAAACTGAGAAACTGCCCTTTTTTCTTTACTGATATATAATTCATATACCATAAAATTCCCTTGCTGAAGTGTACAGTTCAATGCTCTTAACATATTTAGAGTTGTTTGCTCATCACTACAACCCATGGTTAGGACATTTCCATCCCCCAAAGTAAACCCTTTCCCTCCCATGCCCACCCCCATCCTGGGCACTTCACATGCATGGAATCATATACAATATGTCACGTTAGTGACTTCTTTCATTTAGCACAGTGACTTTCAACCTTTTTCATCTCATGGCACACATGAACTGATTACTAAAATTCTGCAGCACACCAAAAAAATTTTTTTTGCCAATCTGACCAAAAAAATAGGTATAATTTTGATTCATTCACACCAGATGGCTATTGCTGTTCTGGCCACTGTCACATTTTTATTTGACAATCTAAGGGAACAGAGGTCAGCGCCTGACTAAACAGTCGGGTGTGGCAGGGTTTAAAAGTCCTTGTGGCGCACTGGCTGAAAACCGCTGAGTAAGGATAATGCTTTCAAGGTTCATTCGTGCTGAAGCATGTGTCAGCATTTCATTTCTTTCTTCTTTTTAAAAAAAGATTTTATTTATTTACTTTTAGAGAGAGGGGGAGTTCTGAGTTCTCACGCCTGCTCGCCAATACGCGCCACCTGCCCTTTGGGCCGCAGCTCTCCTCGTGGGTGTCACATGGTATCTCGCTGGGGTTTAAATTCGTATTTCCTTAATGCCTAATGGTGGTGAACCATTAGACATTCTTTTCATGTGCTTACTGACCATACATGTATCTTCTTTGGAAAAATATCTATTCCAATTTTTTGCCCATTTTTAATTGAGTTATTTGTCCTTTTATTATTCAGTTTTAAGAGTTCTGTACATTTTCTAGGTAGCAGTCCCTTATCAGATGTATGATTTATAAATCTTTTCAACCATTCTGCAGGTTGCCTTTTCGCTTTCTTCATGGTTCCATTTGTAGCATAAAAGCTTTTAACTCTGACGTAGTCCAACCGATAACTCATCTGTTTTTATTTTATGGTCTATGTGAATCTTGTTGTGGTTTTTTTTGCTCTCCTCTTTATTTTGGCTACTGAACAGCTTAGGATCACATCTGTGGCTGACTATTGACTTTTTTGTTTGTTTGTTTTACTTTGTGCTCCAATTTCCAAGCATTTATTTTACTTCACTGTGCTGTATGTATACTGTGACTTACTCCAATTCCTCTTGGAACAAGGTAGGACATAAATAAATACATGTTATAAAGTCTTATGGGCTATTACTGATTGAAAGCTTTCAAGTAAATTTATATGACAATAAAAGGTCTTATTCACCTAACATTCCAGGGTTTGTCAATGAACCTGTGGAACTGAGACTCTGATGGGAAAATGACAAAATAAACTCAGTTCCTGTCAATCGATGAGACAGAATAAGAACCTTTAAAAAGCTGGCTCTAACTTTAGTGTTGTTCTTCTTACACATTCCTGAACATTTTTATCAGTTTCAGAAGTATTAAATACAATCCTACATTGATTAAAACACTCATATTCACATTAGAAACTAAGAAGAACTGAGGATATTAGGGACTGAAAACAAATGGTAGAGCAAGGATTATAAAACAAATTCCAAATAAACTCTCTGTTATTCATCTCAGATTTGCAGATTTGCTCTTTCAAATTCTACCATAAATTGGTTCAGATTAAAAGAAGTAAGTTGTGGCCAGCAGCATACTTTCAGAAGTTTTCAGGTGAGGGTGTGGTAGGACATTCCGTTTTCTTCACACAAGTTACCCCCAACTGAGTCTGAACCTCCTTGTAAGAGCCGCTTTGCAGGCCATCTTACAGGACTGGTGACCAGCAAAGCAATGGTGGGAAAGACTTTTGCTTACAAAGAACCGCATGTTTTACACGAGAGAAAAAAACCGTCAATCTGAAATAGTTTACTGATCCTGTGTATGAAACTACAGAAATTAAGAAAATTAATTATATACTTTCAAGGAGAAAATGTTTATTCTTCCTTCTAAATAGCTAAGCTCTAATATCCTAGTAGTTAATTTGAAAGAGGAAGAATTCAATCCTGTTATGAGGGGGAAGGGGGCTTGTTCAGTAGCATTGGAACTTCTGCTTCCTGTAAGTGGCAGGATGGATGACTAGGAAAAGAGGAAAACTTCAGCAGAAACAATTCAATACACAAGGGAGTGCAAGAAAGCAATGACGCTCTGGTTTAAGTTGTTAAAGATTCCAGAATTAGTCATCCACTGACATGATCTCGCATGTCTTCTTCTGGCTTGACCAGATCTATGTTTAATCTGACAAACATCAATCTTTTCCCTCCAGCGGTCCATAAAGCCCTCTCCTTAGAAGTCAGTGCAAAAAAAAAAAAAAAAAAGAGTCTGTGCCCACATAATTTTAGAAGGGACACTCTGGTAGAAGAGGTGACTGTAGCGCTGGCGTAGGATATAGCTTGCCGGGAAAGAGACAAACTCCCTCTCTGAGAAACTCTAACCCCAAAAATTAAGGTATAAAACATACATATGTGAAGAATAACACATACCCAAATCCCAAGTGCACAGCTCCATAGGTATGAGTGTGTGTGTGTGTGTGTGTGTTGTATGTGTGTGTACACCTATACCTGCATCACCACCAGCCAGTGACACAAAGCATCCCACTACTCCAGAAGTCCCCCGCGCCCCTTCCAGGCCAATATTCTCCTACCAAAGGAAGCACCATTCTGCCTGGTCTTGAACATCATATACATCAGTCGTCAGTGTTCTTTTGGGTCTAGCTTTTTTAGTTCACCGTAAAGTCTGTGAGATTTAACTATGTTTTGGCATGTACTCATGTTATTTTTTACTGCTAAGTACTGTTCTATCATACACTCATAACACATTGATCTATTCCACTATCTATGGGTGGACTCTTAGCTTGTTTCCCATTTGGGGCTATTACGAATAAAGTTACAGTGGACATACTGATGCACATCCTTTGCTGGACACATGCAGGTGTGGAATTGCTGGGTTATGAGGTAGAGATGTTTTGCTTTACTGCCTAGTAAACAGTTCTCCAATGTAGCTGAACCAATTGACAAGCCCACCAGCAATGTGTCTAGTTCTAGTTGCCCACAAACTCGCCAACACAGTATTGTCAGACATTTTCACTGATACCCTCTTTTGTAAAGTGCCAGTTAAAAATCTTTTGACCATTTAAAAAACACTGGTTGTATTTTTTTTTTACTTCTTCCCTGTACCTTTCCTACACTATTCCTCCCTTCCCCCTCTCCACTTGAAATCCCTCCATGTCCATTTCTGATTCTGTTCCTGTTCTGGCTGTTAGCTTAGTTTTTTTTCTTTTCTTTTAGAGTCATTTGTTGATAGTTGTGAGTTTATTGTCATTTTACTGTTCATAGTTTTTATCTTCTTTTTCTTAGATAAGTGCCTTTAACATTTCATTTAATAAGGGCTTGGTGATGATGAACTCCTTTAACTTGACCTTATCTGGGAAGCACTTTATCTGCCCTTCCATTCTAAATGATAGCTTTGCTGGATAGAGCAATCTTGGATGTAGGTCCTTGCCTTTCACGACTTCAAATACTTCCTCCCAGCCCCTTCTTGCCTGTAAGGTTTCTTTTGAGAAATCAGCTGACAATCTGATGGGAAATCCTTTGTCTCCTTATCTCTTGCTGCTTTTAGGAGTTTATCTTTCATCTTGGGTAACTTAATGCTGATGTGCCTTGGTGTGTTCCTCTTTGGGTCCAACTTCCTTGGGACTCTCTGGGCTTCCTGAACTTTCTGGACGCCTATTTCCCAGATTGGGGAGTTTTCCTTCATTATTTGTTTAAGTAAGTTTTCAATTTCTTGCTGTTCTTCTCCTTCTGGCACCCCTATGATTCAGATACTGGAACGCTTCAGCTTGTCCCAGAGGTTTGTAAGACTCTTCAGTTTTTTGAATTCTCATTTCTTCATTCTGTTCCGGCTGGATGTTTATTTCTTCCTTTTGTTCCAAATCGTTGCTTTGAGCCCTGGTTTCCTTCCTGTCACTGCTGGTTCCCTGAATATTTTGCTTTATTTCACTTCGGGTATTCTTCATTGTTTTTTTTCATTTTTCGACCAAGCTCTATCAGTTCTGTGAGCATTTTGATTACCAGGGCTTTAAATTCTCCATCAGTTAGGTGGCAATATCCTCATCACACAGTTCTCTTTCTGAAGTTTTTTGCATTTTTTTAATTGAGTAGTGCAGTCCTTTGTCTATTATATTCTGAGTACAAGTCCTGTATCAGATGTATGTATTGGAAAAATCTCCCAATTTATGGCTTGCCTTTTCCCTTTCTTTAAAAAAATTTTTTTATTTGCTGATTTTTTTGTTTGTTTGTTTGTTTTTAGCAGGGGGAGAAAAGGAAAAACATAAATTTGTTGTTCTACTTATTTGTGCATTCACTGGTTGCTTCCTTAAAATATTTTATTTTTATTGATTTTTAGAGAGATGGGAAGGGAGAGAGAAAGAGGGAGAGAAACATCACTTGGTTTCCTCTCACACGCCCTCGACCCGGGACCTGGCCTGCAACCCAGGCACGTGCCCCAACCCTTCAGTTTGCAGGACGCAGCCCCACCCACGAAGCCACCCACACCGGGCAGGGCCATGGGCTGCTTCTTGTATGTGCCCTGACCAGAGACCGAACTCGTGTGTCGGAGTTCGGATACTCGTGTGTTGGTGTATCAGAACAATGCTCTAACCAACTAAGCAACCTGGCCAGGGCCTGCCTTTTGCCTTTCTTAATTGTGTATTTTTGTGAATAGAAGTTCTTAATTTTAACAAAATTAAATTTCTTTCTTTTAAGGTTAGTACTTTCTATGCTCTATTTAAGGCTCTTGACCCCAGCACATACTCTCCATACTTCCTTTTAGGAGTCTTACTGTTTTATCTTTTACATTTAAGTTATAATTTATTTTGAATTCATTTTCGTAGATGGAGAGAAGGGTCAAGATTCATTTCCCACCCAGATAAATATCCAATTGCTTCAGTAACATTTATTGAAAGAAGTGCCAGTTTTTAAATTTTTTATTTTAGTTTTTAATTAAAATATAGTTGACATATAGCCCTAGCTGGTGTGGCTCAGTGGGTTGGGCAGCAGCCTGCAAAAATGGAAGGTTGTGGGTTCGATTCCCAGTCAGGGCACATGCCTGGGTTGTGGGCCAGGTCCCCATTTGGGGGCGTGTGAGAGGCACTGATCGATGAGTAAACATCAATGTCTCTCTTCCCCTCATTCTCCCTCCTTTCCCTTCTCTCTAAAAAATAAATAAAATTTAAAAAAGTATAGTTGACATACAATATTATATTAGTTTCAGGTGTACAACATAGTGATTTTTAAAAATATTTTATTTATTTTTAGAGAGAGGGGAAGGGAGGAAGAAAGAGAGGAAGAGAAACATCAATGTGTGGTTACCTCTCGCACGACCCCTACCGGGGACCTGGCCTGCAACCCAGGCATGTGCCCTGACTGGGAATCAAACCAGCAACCCTTTGGTTCAGAGGCTGGCACTCAATCCACAGAGCCAAACCAGCCAGAGCAGCGATTTTATATTTATATACCTTATACTGTGGTCACCACAGTAAGTCTAGCAACCATCTGTCACCATTCAAAGTTATTGTGATATTACTATGTTCTCAATGTTGCACCATGACTTATTTATAGCCCCATGACTTATTCATTTCATAATTAGAGGTCTGTACCTCATTTTCCCATCCCTCTTATCCCTGCCTCCCGATAACCATGTTTGTTCTCTGTATCTATGGGTCTGTTTGTTCATTTGTTATTTTTTCATATTTTACACATAAGTGAAATTACATGGTGTTTGTCTTTCTCTGACTTACTTCACTTGGCATAATACCCTCTGGGGTCACCCATGTTACAAACGGCATGATTTCATGCATTTTCACTGAGGAGCCCTAGCTTTCATTTCACGTGGACTGCTGGATAATGAGCACACCTTCCTTCCAAGGCACAGTCCTCATACGCACCTGTCTCAATAGTCTGCTTCCCTCCTGAGAGGACACCCAGCGGGAGTGTGCCTGTAGGAGTCAGGCCCTTGAGGGTCAGCACACTCTCACTTTCCTCCCTGCAAAGGAAGATCAAAGGCCTGGGTTAATGCCTGGGAGTCTACCACTCAGCAGTTCAAAGGCACTTGAAGGAAGGCAAGATGCAAAGAGATGGAGGACTGCTTTCCCTTCTCCCTACCCCTTCCCTCACCCAAAGAATGGATGTTTTCTCTCAGTGCTCCAATTTTAAAGAATCTGACAGGTCTTCCTTTTCAATTGATGACACTTAAGAACTAGGTGCTATTCTAATGATTCCCACATATGATCTCATTTAATCCTCTTACTATCCCTGTAGAGCCAGTCTTTTATCGATCTTTTACAACAAGAAAAAGGAGGCAGAAGATCAGACAGCTGAGAAGAGAATGTGTTCACAGGCAGTCTGGCTCCTGAATCCACACCAAACCCACTACCTTTGAGTGGGTACCAAGTGAACACTTGCCAGAACACTTCTAGTCATCCTATCGTGCAGTCTGATTCTAATCCACAGTCAGCCTACAGTTCTAATACAAAATTCCAATTCTAAAAAAAAAAAAGTTAGGAAATCAAATTCTACTCTCACAATGCTTTTACGCACAGGGCAATGACAGAGCCTTACCGAAGAACTGAGAAGACCCGGGCCATCTTCCCAATGGCTCTGATTTTGTTCTTGATGATCTCCTTCCGCACTGTAGTGCCTGCTTTGAGAATACAAAAAATAAGTGAGTTAAAGGAATGCGTTAAGGTGATTTTTAAAAGTGCAGGATGCAGTATCTTTCTAAGTTAAAGAAACTGTTATCTTAAAAAAAGAAAGAATCAAGACCTAAGTTTGTTTAAACAAACAAAAATCTCAGGAAGTTCTAAGGAGCAAGAAAAAAAATAACCCAGAAAAGAAAAAGATGAAGTAACAGGTGGAGGGGCCACACGGGCACCGCTCTGAGAGGCAGGAACTGATCTGCGGCTCCGAACCGTGGGACACAGAGAAGAGTGCAATACACACACGTAAACAAAGACAGCTGCTGCCAAGGCCAAGATCTCTGAGAATGCTGTGGGCCACCTTAGGATGCAGGGTTTGGCCTGCAAATGGCAAGTAATGATTTGAGCAGTCATCTTCTGCATGTGAACACAATACACAGCTAGCTCCCCAGAACTCAGTGAGGGCTACTTTCATTCTATAACCCTCACCTACAAACTGGGAGTTACTTCCTACCACAGACAACTATGCAGTACAAATTATGATGACAGGTTAAAGCTGTTTTTTTGTTTTGTTTTGTCTTGTTTATAAAGCAACATCACAAAAGTTAATGCAAAACTGTATGGCCTTTTGTCCTCTAGAGTCAAGGAACAGCTCACACACGAGAAGCCCAAGTCCAGCATGCACCAGAGAACCACATTCAAAAGTCAGATAAAGAAACATGGCCCCTCCCCCCACCCCCCAGCTCTCAGTATCCCGCAGGACCGTACAGCAGGCCCAGAGAAAACACATACATCAAAACAGAAAAGGAGGCCTGTTTGAAAATGATTCAGCTACAACTAAAAAAGTCTAACTAACAGACTGCAGTGGGACAGACAGCAAATATTAAGCTCTTAGGACATTTTAGTCGGATACCTTTCTGATAGCTTGAAATGTAGTGATCTTCAGGGAGAAGAGACACCAAGAAACAAGAAGGTGAAGACAGAAATACGAGAAGAGCGATTTAAGTTTACATGGAAGAGAGAAAAAAAATCAAAGTGAAATGCAATGAGAGGAGCGGGCTGTCATCTTTATCAGCTCAGACGAGACATCGTTGGGACATGACAGATGTTAGACTACAGATTTCTTGTCAGTCATTTTCCCACTTCTTAAAACTTCCTAGTTTTACATCAGTTCACTCTATTATTAACCGACATGTTCCATCCCCACAGATCATGAAAATAAAATGAGACCAAAAAAAGATATTATTTGTGGAACAAATGACACTGATAAGGAGCAAAAACGAAGGACAGAACGAACAGTTTACAAATCTCTTAATAAAAGCGTTATGTTTTTACTTAACGGATTTAATATCTTCCCATATCTTTCTAGGGATATTGCAGTCATTCCCTTTTTAAGTTTTATATTTGCTTCAGAATCTCAGATTCGTTCAAGTTGCTTTCTGCTGTTTTTATTGTGGTCTCTCAGAGACTTTCTTGAGCTGTCCGGCGACCATTAACCGTTTGCTCATGATTGAGAGCGAGGAACTAGAAAGCTTCCAGAGCTGGCGGGTGGACTGTGTGGACTTGGAGCTTGACCTACGATCAGAGCAGGCCTGTTTTAGGGAAGCCTCTCTGTCAGTATCAAGTAGACGTGCCGTATTAAGTAGGTTTTGGCAGGGTTCTGATGTCCTCGATTATGTCCCCAGTCTGTAAATTCTTTGGTTTACCTTTTAGAGATCAGTCTCCAGCCTTGGAGAGAGCAGCTAGGACTTTATGGGCCTTTCCAAAAACTCTCATCCGGTCTCCTTATTTGAGCTCAGGGTCCAGCTCCCTCCTCCCTGCCATCCCACAGTCCCCAGTTCTCGCAACTGGTGCTACCAATCCCTTTGCTTTTTGAGGATTCTGTGCAGAACCCAGCACTTCCCAGTAGTAAGATGAACTTTAGTTTTCTTGAATCAGCTAAGTCCGTTAATACAGTATGAATTCATTTGTTTTCCAGCTACCAAAAACTCCTACAAAAATCTCTGCATATTGGTAGGTTTAAAACTTTGCAAAGCTTTTTTTTTTTATTGTGAAGTACGATAAACATACAGAAAAGCACACAAAACAAACACGTAACCTAGTGATTTCTTAAAAAGCAAATGGCCAGCTCATCACCACTCAGGTCAATAAACAGAAACCTGCCAGCACCCCAGATGCCCCCCAACCCCAAGCCCTTCCTAATAATTACTATCTCCCTCTACTCAAAGAAAAGTATTCTCTTGAATTTTATTGACATCACTTTCCTGCTGTTCTTTACAGTTAGACCATGTAAGTGTGCATCCATAAGCACTCCAGTTTTCATCATTTTTGCACTTTGTATAATTGGAACAATCAGATACATGCATCTGCATCTAGCTTCTTTTGTTCAACCTTGTGAGCTTCATCCATGCGTCCCCTGTTGCTGTGGCTCCCGGTCATTATTATATGAAATCCCACTATGTGAATGTGCCACAACGTACTTCTCCTTTTCATGGTCAGTGATCCTTTGGGCTACTTCTAATTTTTGGCTAATTAGGCTGCTTGTGAATATTGCTGTGCATTTCTCTTCACTGCACATATTTCTGTTAGGTATACTCCTAGAATTAAAATGCTCGGTTACAGGGCACATATACGTTCAACTCTGGCTAACAGTTTGACATCATTTACTAAAGTGGACACAGCGACTTACACCTGTGTGTGTGACATTCCTGCAGTTTCACGTTCTGGCCGACACCTGGCGTGACTCATCTTTAATTTTAGACAATGTGGTGAGTGTCTAAAATCATCCATTGTTTTAATTTGCATTTTCATAATTACCAATGTGGTTGAATATCTCTTCATATTTTTGCTGGCCATCTGAATATCCTCTTTTGTGAAGTGCTTATTCACATCTCATCTGACTGATCTCTATGTAGTTCACTATATATTCTGGCAAGTGAGACCTTTGCCAGTTGTGTGGAAATATCCTCTCCCATTCTTAATAAAGTGTTTTGATAAACACAAGTCCTTACTTTTAACATTGTCCAAGTTACTCAGTCTCCTGTATGGTTAGTACTTTTTGCATCCTGTTTAAGAAATTTTCTTCTACTGCAAGGTCATGAAGATATTCTATATTTATTATAAATACTAGAAGCTTTATTGCTTTGTCTCTCATGTTTGAATGTATTAATCCATCTGGGATTTATTTCTGTGCTGGGAATATGATGTTAGGGGTTAGGTTTAATTTTTACTCAAATAAATAGCCCCAAATCATCCACAAAAAATACCATCCTCTTCCTGTGATGTACAGGGCCACCTCCAATGTACATCGTGTCCACATATGTGTGGATCTACGGTACATCTGGGTTGTCTGTTCCACTTGGTGCTTGTCTGTCCCTGCAGTAGTCATTCAATTACTCCAGCTCTGGAGTAAACCTTGATATCTTACAGAACAAGACCTCCTACCTTATTCTTCTTCAAGACTATTTCCATATGAACTTTAGAATTTAACCTTAGTATTCCCATATAAATTTTAGGATCAAATTGTTAATATTTGACTATGATTCCATATCAATTTGGGCATAATTTATATCTTTACAATACTGAATATTCCAATAATCCATGAATACAGTATTTCTCTCCATTTATTTAGATTGCTTTCAATTTCTCTAACAATATTTTATAGTTTGTTGCTTAGAGGTATATCACGCATCATTTGTTAGAGTTATTAAAAATGGCATCTTTTAAAATTTCATTTTGCTTGTTGCTGGTAAATAGAAATATGAATGATTTTTACGTACTGACTTTATATCCAGCAGCTTTACTACCTGCAGTTATTGATTCTAATAATTAATCCATAGACTCTTTTAAATTTCCCTCTATATAATCACATATAAAAAAATAAGTTTTGTTTCTTTCCAATCTTTATATCTTATATTTCTTTTTCTTACCTTATTATATTGGATACAACTTCTAATATGATATAGTATAGAGGTATTGGTAGCTAGCATCCTGGTCCGTCAGATTAAAGACTTCCTCTCTAAACCTAGTTTGAGCAATTGTAAATGAGAGATAAGCCTTGTTTAATGTTGCTTCTACATCTACTGAGAAAATATGCCTTTTCTTCCTTTTTCTGTAAATGCAAGGAATTATTCTGGTTGATTTTTTAAATAGTTTTAATTTTTAGAATAGTTTTAGTTGTATGTAAAAGACAGTATAGGGGGTTCCCTTATACCCATAACCCAGCTCCATTATTAACTATTTTCAATATGTATATTCCAGTATATACCGATTGAATTTTTAAAAATATTTTATTTATTTATTTATTTTTAGAGAGAAGGGAAGGAGAAAGAGAGGGAGGGAAACATCATTGTGTTGTTGCCCCCATGAAATCCCTACTGGCGACCTGGCCCACAACCCAGGCATGTGACTCGTGACTGGGAATCCAACCAGCAACCCTTTGGTTCGCAGGCCGGCACTCAATCCACTGAGCCATTACCAGCCAGGGCCTGATTAAACCTTGAGTGTTAAATCTTCTGAGATTTCTAGAATACATCAACTTGGTTGGGTGGCATAAACCTTTTATGTATATTGTTAGTTTCAATTTGCTGAGGTTTTGTTTAGGATGATTATATCTATGTTAATGTTCCTGTCACATTTCAGTATCATAGTCACACCAGCCTCATTAAATGAGCATACCTCTTTTATTCTTGGGATGATTTGTGTTGTCTCTTTCTTAAATATTTGACAAATGTGCTGAAGTTTTCTCCACCTGGCATTTTATTTGCAGGAAAATTTAAAATTACAGACCTTATTTCTTGGCAGGCATGTGATTATTAATATTTCCTATATTGTATTAGGCTGGATAAGTTAATTATTCTAGGAATCTATCCATTTCATATCAATTTAAAAATTTGCAGGTACATACTTATTCTTGTTATCTTCTTTTCTATAATTCCTGTTGATTGATTTTTAGAGCGAGAGAGAAACAAACACCATTTGTTGCTCCACCTATCCATGTATTCGCTGGTTGATTCTTGTACAAGGGCAGACCCCCCAAAATGGAATTGTATTCTGGAGGGCAGGCCCCTTGTAGTACAGGTTACCCTGCTAGGTGAGTGTTCTAGGAAGCCATCTGTAGCAGTGTACCAGCTGGCGTTGTTGTGAGAGGCTGTGTTCAGCTTCAGTGAAATTTTTTTGTTGTTTTTGAAGGCTCTTTCAGTGGGTTTGCCCATTTCATGCTGGGTGGTTTACAAGGGCATCTGCCCACATTGTGCTGAGTACTCAGCAGTTTTTGATTAAAAGCAACATGACCCCCCTGCCACACCCTCCCTATTCTCCTGAACTTGCCCCAAGCAACTTTTTTTGTTTCCCTGGATGAAAAAAGTCCTCAAAGGGGAATGTTTTGTCAATGTGGAAGAGGTAAAACAAAAAACAGCAGAAGCACTAAAAGATATAAAAAACAAGTTCAAAAACTGTTTTGAACAGTGGAAAAAACATCTTGATAGGTGTGTTGCATCAAATGGGGAGTACTTCGAAGGTGACTAAAGTTTGAACATGTAAGAATAAATGCATACTTTTTCAATAAATTCTGGTTTTTTGGGGTTCCCCCTGGTGTGTGCCCTGATGATGGATTGAACCCACAATGTTGGCATATTAGGATGATGCTCCAACCAACTGAGCTACCCGGCCAGGGCTGTTCTTGTTATTGTCTTAATGTCTGTAGGATCAGAACTGACATTGATTATTTTTGTCTTACCTTTTCCACTTGATAAGTCTTACCAGGAATTTATCAATTTTATTAGTCTCTTGAAAATAGCACATTTTGTTGCACTTCTGGGTTGTATTTTGTTTTCTATTTTGTTAATACTGCTCTGAACTTTTTATTTCATTCCACTTACTTTCTTTAGATTTAATGCTATCCTTCCTTTTGTTAACTTCTTGAGATGAACGCTAATTTTC